GACACTGCATTTGGAGTGTCCCACTGCGGGGGCAGTGCATGGTGTGGAATTAGCCACGCGGCACACACCAGCTGGCGGGCTGCAGCTCAGGACCTCCCGTTTTGAAAGACTGAGACCCCCCACCCCAGCTGTGACTAGCTGCTGCTCCATGCCCCGAGCTGTCCTCACAGGACCCTTCTCCCTACCGTTCTCCCAGCTCTAATGACGCCGTAAGGCCTGGGGGTGGCCACGTTCACCGCCCACCCACGTCTTGCCTGTGGCCTGCCCATGCCCACACCACTGGAGGGCGGCCGCCATGTTTACCAGCTCCTAGTCAGCCCCTAAAATAGTAACCATGATGATAAGGAAGAAAAAGAGAACATTGTAAGTGCATGTTAAAATGATATGCTGATGCTCTTTTCATTGGTTGTAGCTTCTGAGGGTCCTTTGCTGTACAACCGATTAAAAAAAAAAAATTCCTAACCTTCTTTCCAAAGTACCTCCATTCCTTTCATTTAAAAAACTCAGTCTTAGTAATTTTGAAAATGGCCAAACGGAATATATCATTAATCATTGTAAGTAAGATCTCGCATGCTAAATTTTAACCCAAAGCATTTTCAGTTTCTAAGACTACTTGGTTTGAAAGTGTGCGACTGAAAGCAAGTGCTGGCGTTTCTGCTGCTGCAAATACAAAGCAATAAGCACAGCGCTTATAGGTCAGTTGCTTTTGCCTTCAACTAATGCCTGGGAGGGAACCAGACCAGATTCCTCTCTACCTAAGACACAGTTCCCTCTCTGCAGTGCGTACCTCTGCTGAATATCTCATTTATTTCATATCCATGGTTTCTTTTGTAACATACAACAGTGTTATGTGGAATACAGATAGCGTGATCAGTGCCCTGAGTAAGAGATCAACAGTGGAAAGTAGAGCATTTTGTTAATATTGTTCTCTTAGCCTCGGTTTTCATTAAGCTCGTGGTTACGCTTTTGTATAAGGACACATCCCTATTGCACATATCCACACTGAAGTTTATCCTCCCTTCTCAAGGTTAAGATCCTGCCTTCAGAAATGCTACAAGCTGCACGTTGTTGAACCTGATTTCTTGGGATTTTGTTTTCCCCGACTTACTTTCCTGGGCTGATCCCTTGAAAGCTCACATGTACGGAACCCAAACGTCAGGATTTACCCTGGTCACGGCCACCTCTCCTAGCAGAGCGAGTGAAGCTGAGCCCGTGCAGGTCCTCACGGAGCAGTGCTCCCCAACGCCTCCCTGTGTCAGGAGAGAGGGAGTTCAGAAACAGGGAAATCAGACTCTCCTTTCAATAAGGCAGAGTGTACTGGAGACTATGACATTTGACTGGAAATCAGATAGGAATATAAAGCTTAAAGTAGAAAATTGCCCCCCAGAAGTCAACTTGAAATAGCCAGAAAGTGTGTTTCCTCACGAAGATGCCTTTGTTTTACGAGGAGGAGGATGTAGAACAGAGTTATGTATGTTTGGAATCGTCATCTGCACCCTGCAGGCCGGGCAGCATCAGGTGCCATTGTCACTCTCCATCTGTCTTAACGGACGGGACTCCTGAGCAGACCGGAATGGAAATGGCCGCGCTGGCAGCTGAGCAGTTTGCTCCAGCTGCTGAGTGGTGGTGGCCTGCAAGTAGCCCTGCCTTTGACAGCGCAGACACACTTGTATTTGCACTTCACGTCAGTCAGTGCTTTTAAACAGCCAAAGGACCAATTTTCTCAAGATTGTTTTTTCAGCCATTTCCAGGGGTGTGCCTCCGTTAGCCTTCCTGCCCCCTCCTCCCATCCCCCTGTTCCTGGCTCAGTACCTGGTGCCTCAGCGCCTCTGCTCCCCGCTGGCTCCAGAGCTGCATGAGGACAGGAGGGCTGGCTGAGGTCAGTGTGGGCTACGCTCAGGTTCCCACTTGGTGTTTGTCCAGCCTTGTGATCGCCTGTCCAGGCTGGAGGTGAGACCCTCGGCTCATTATTTTTAAAATACTTTATATATATATTTTTTTTTAATATATTTTATTGATTTTTTACAGAGAAGAAGGGAGAGAGAGAGAGAGCCAGAAACGTCGATAAGATAGAATCATCGACCAGCTGCCTCCTGCACACCCCCTACTGGGGATGTGCCCACAACCTTGACCAGAATCGAACCTGGGACCTTTCAGTCCACAGACCGACGCTCTACCACTGAACCAAACCGGTTTTGGCACTTTATATATTTTTAATGTTGAAATATTTCCATCACATAAAGAATAATAAACACCCAGGTGACCACCATCTACAGATTTAACAGGTGTGATCATTTTTTCTTTTTCATTTTTTTTCAAATTTGTATCCAAAAAAAGAAGGTAGATAACTGAATTGAAACATCTTTCCCTATCCCATCTCCCCATCTCTTTCCCAGACATATCTGAACACCGACATCAAATTGCATCCTCTCGCCCTTGGTTTTACGTGTGACTTTTTAATTCAGCGTGCTTTTGAGGTTTACTCCTACATGAGCATTTAGTTCAGACATCATAATTACCGCATAACATTTTATCGTGAGAAAACACCACAACCGGTCTCCTGTTGTTGGTATGGAGGTTGTTTCCAGTTTTTGCTATTACCCGCAGTGCTGAACAGGACATCCTAACAGCGGCCTGTGCGGTGTGTAGGGTATGTGCCTGCAATGGGATTGCTGGGTTGGGTGTTATATACATTTCCAACTGGAACGAGGTCTTGCCAGATTATTTGCACAGCGGTTGGACCTGTTCTCACTCACACCAGCAGGGTGTGTCCCTGATTTTCCACATCCTCACCAACCCTTGGCATTGTGATCCGTAAACCCCTTGTACCATCAGTGTCTATGGACACTGGAGATGGTTTCCATTGTGGGCGTGTGGCAGTTAACTGGTTAACCTTTGCCAATTGGTTGGGTATGGAGTGGCATTTTTGTTTTAATTTGCATTTTCTGATTTCAAGTATTATTGAGCATCTTTTTACATCGTTTATCGGTCATTGGTGATTTGCCTGTTCAAGTCTTTTGTCCATTGTTCTGCTTAATTATTTTTTCTATTATTTTGTAAGTATTCTGTATATATTCTGGATAATAATCTTTAGCTGGCTATATACATTGCAGATATTTTCTTCTAGTCTGTGGCTCATTTTTAAATGTTATTTGTGGTATCTTTTTGTCTTGCAACAATTTTTATTTTAAAATAGTCATATTTATCAATCTCTTTCTTTATGAATTTTGCTTGTTGTCTTTTTAAAACATGTCTTCCCTTCACGGCAATTATAAAAAGTTTCCTCCATATTTTTTTCTAAAAGCTAAAAAGTATTCTTAAAATGTTTAGGACTTCAATGAAACTGAAATTTATTATTGCGTATTATAGGAAATGAGGTTCTAGTATATTTTTCTCATATGAACAGCCAGCTGTCCTATATTTCCCCCATTGACTTGAAAAACTGAATCTGCTTTATATAAACGGGTCTGTGTGAGGATTCTTTATTCTCTGTCGTTGTTCTTTTTGTCTTTTTCTGCACCAACAGGACATTGTCTTAACCACGATAGCCCTAAAGTAGTTCCTGATACCTGGCATGGTATCCCTCTCTTGCTCCCACACCTTAGTCTTCTTCCTTTTCTTTTTGACTCTTCAGTTTAACATGACATTTAAGATCAGTTTGTCAGAGGCCAGGTGCGGCTTTTAATTGAATTTGAATTATGGGTTTTTCTAGGAGAATTGCCATCTTTGTGATATTGGGTCATTCCATCCATGAACATGGTATACGCATTTAGATATTCTTGCATTTTCTTCAGTAAGTTTTATTTCATGGGGATACTCCATATTGTCTGCTGGGTTTGTCCTAGGTCCCTGCAAGCCTTTGTTGCTCTGGTGAAGGGATCTTTTCTGAAGTATGTTTTATTAATTAGGCATTGCTGGTCTTTATGAATTCTGTTGTTCTTGTATCCAGTACCTTGCTTCACTCCTTTTCATTCTAAAAACTTCTCTTGGACTTTTTATGTAAATTCTAATGACAATTTTATTTCGTATGAATTATTTTTAATAACTTTTATAAAGGTTTTCAGTGTTCTTTTTCATATTTGTCTTTTTAAATGTTAAATTATAAATTGGATTAAAAACCTCTTCATGTTATTTAAATGTAATTTAGAATAAAATTCACAATTAAATAGGAAACTCTGAGAAACTTTACTGATTTTCATTTGAAGGCTATAACATATATAAAATATTCTCATTTTGGAGGTTGTACACTAACAAAAGCAAAGAGAGCCCATCCATTTTCCTCTTAATATTTTAGAATGTTCTATACTTTTATATAAAGCTAGCTTTTTCCTCTCATTTGCTTGCTTAGCATCCTAATAGGAAGTCATTTGTCATGTCGTTTTTACACTTTGTTAATCAACTGTTATCTCTATTTTTTTCCACAGTAAAATCACTGTTTCCTTTTATTCAAGGAAATGTCTTACAACAGGTCCCATAAAATAAAGATATGGCTTGTAACTAAATTTATGTGTAAATTCTGGATCCTAATAGTAATAATCTAACTTCCTTCTTTGGAAAGTAATTTCTGCATAGAAATTCCACAGAATTATATTTCATATAGAAATCAAGGAGTTAAAAGAATTTCTAAATATTTTTATCATAAATTTTTCTAAAAACTCAGATACTTTTTAGAATTAATGTGGCATTTTTAAATGAGTGTGAAAATGCATTATCCTCGTTTTTATATAGGCTACATGCTATGACTTTTGTGTTCTTTGGTGGATTCTCTTTTCCAAATTTCTTAAATTTCCAAACTGAAATAATTTTTATTAACATTTCACTTGTAGATATTGCAGACAGAAGTTTAAAATATCAACATTATGAGAATTTTAGCTTCATTGAGATCCATTTTGGCTTATTGATGTTTTCCTTGCCTTTATTTACTTTTATTTGTTTCTAGTAATGCTAAAAATGGATGGAGTTTCTTATAACATTTATTTCTTTTTTGCCCCTGGATTCAGACTGTAGACAGTTCTCCACTTCCAGTTCACACACCAACCTTAAAGAAAAAGGCATGCTCTGGTTCAACTGGCTTTCCAGCTAAGGTACAGTCTACTTATAGTCTGTTGTGTTCTGAAAAGGAAAGAATACTCAAAATGAAAATAGGTTTCTTCTGCTTTTTTTATTTTCTGTGATTTTTTTTTTCTTTTTTGCTATTGGTTTCCTTAAAATTACAGACATGAAAGTTTGGGGAAAAATAAATTCTGTATGAATGGAAATAATCATCCTTGAGAAAGGTAAAAAGAGTGTCCAAAGTTCGTTTTGTTGTTCTTCCATCTTCTTTTTCTTTTTTAATATATTTTTATTCATTTCAGAGAGTAAGGGAGAGGGAGAGAGCGATAGAAACATCAGTGATGAGAGAGAATCATTGATTGGCTGCCTCCTGCATAACCCTACTGGGGATCGAGCCCATAGCCTGGGCATGTGCCCTTGACCAGAATCGAACATGCAACCCTTCAGTGTGCAGGCCGACAGTCAGTCCACTGAGCCAAACTGGCTAAGTCTTCCATTTTCTTAAATTCACTCTTAGGAAGTTTTTTAGAGTGAGGAGGAGTGCTTGGAGGATGTATTGTAAGAATGGTATTAACTTGAGGTCACTTTTGGAAGAATCTAAGGTTGAGGTTAATAAAGCAGCCCAAAAAAGAGAAATATTTAGAGAAAAATTCAAGCGAATTTTCATCTTTTCATTCTATTTAATTTGACCGAAGTGTTGTATATGGTAGAACATGCAGATTTAATTGCTTATCTCAAGCTCCTACAAAGAAATTCTAGAAATTGGAAAACTAAAAGGATTAAAAATGTCAGCACTAGCAGATTTACTCTTGATAGTCCCTTAAAGAGCAAAAAATTAAGAGTAAAAATTAGTATTCACGAGAAACGTTGAGCAAAATTTTATCTGATGCCGACAAATTGGGCACTTGTATTTTATGCCCCTAGTCGTGGCCTAACCATGACTTCTGTAGTCGTAGGTCTTTGTAGGGTCATATTCTACCTGCTTTTATTTTTGAGACTTTGAGAGCTGGCAGTGTCAGACAAAAGTTTGTTTATTCTCTCTGAGTTTGGGTCTCTTCACTTGTCTACGGAAATAAGACCTATTTTTCTCAGAGTTGTGTCCATCACCTCGGATGATGCAGGTGAAGTACTGGCCTCATGTTCACACCTGGGTCGGTGCTTGGTCCACATAAGAGCGGTCAGAGGAGTTACATACAGATAACCTGTCCTGCTCAGAACAGTCACATCCCAGGGCCTCTTCGAACTGACCAGGGTCCTGAGCAACGTCTGGAAGAGAATGGTTTGAGGTTGACCCAGAGCCCATGATTGCTCTAAATTTGGGAGTCTCACCTCATTCCAAGTCCCCGATGCTCTGATAGTTCATTCTTCTATATAAAATGATGTCTTGGTTTTTATTTTTTAAATAAGTTTCTGTTGACTTTAGAGATAGGAAGAGAGAAAGAAAGAGAGATAGAAACATCATTGATGAAAGAGAATCATTGATCAGCTGCCTCCTGCACGCCCCCTACTGGGAATTGAGCCCACAACCCGGGCATGTGCCCTGACCAGGAATTGAACCAATGACTTTTCGGTTCCTTAATGATGCTCAGCCAACTGAGCCACTACAGTCAGGCGATGAGTTCTTGTTTTTCTTTAAAGAATTTCTTCTGTGGTATATAAATCCCATATCATAGTTGAGAAAAGTAAAATATATTTTTTACTTAAATTTTAAAGCTTTGAATATTCTCTTTAGTTTGTTTTTGTTTTTTGTTTTTTTAATGAGAAGTTAGTCTCAACTGGAGTGAATACTTCATAATCACTTGTCATCAGAATTCACATATTATTGGAGTATATCAATAGAATAAAGTTCTTATTAGCTTAACTGAATCACACGTATAAAAGAGAAGTAATGAGAAAAGTGAGATGCAAAGGAATTAAGTAATTTGCTTTTGAGTTCATGTAATGGGTGAAGGAAAGGCAGTTATAATGCATTTATTATTAAGATGTGCTAAGACCGGCCAAAACCAGTTTGGCTCAGCAGTAGAGCGTCGGCCTGCGGACTGAAAGGTCACGGGTTCGATTCCGGTCAAGGGCATGTACCTTGGTTGTGGGCACATCCCCAGTAGGGGGTGTGCAAGAGGCAGCTGGTCCATGTTTCTCTCTCATCGACATTTCTAACTCTCTATCCCTCTCCCTTTCTCTCTATGTAAAATCAATAAAATATATTTAAAAAAAAAAAAAAAAAAAAAAAGATGTGCTAAGACTGAATTAGGAAAGGGAAGGAGGATTCTGGAGAACTAACTTCTTACATTGATGTGCCATCACATGGCTCAAAACAAGGCTTGGAGAATTTTAACTTCTTTGTTTTCAGTAAGAGATTTCAGCTGCCATCTGTCTCTAGAATAATCTGTATGTATTTCCATGTGGTCAGCTGTAATACTGCCCACTCCCACGAGAGGAAACAGATTTTTTAAGCTTATGATTTGTTCTTGGTCCCAGAAAAACCAAATACATGATGTATAATAAGGCAAGAATTTTTAATTACTCTTTGTTCTTCCTAAGGAGGTCTGAATGCGTGTTAAGTTTCTTTATTTCAGGTATAAACATGCAAGATTTCACTTAACTCTGCTAAAGAGTAATTTGAAGAATTTGATGAGAATCCTGAAATCAAAAATTTTATTATAAAGTTTTAGTTATAAAAGCTAGTTTATAACTTTTCAAGTGTCAATTCAAGGGCAATTGATTATCATAACTTATTTCATTTTATCATAACCCAGCTCAATATTGCCTAACAAAAATACTTAAAGAGCATAGATTATAGAACTATACAGTGAGAAAGGAAAATTATCCATTTTACTCCTGTATAGAAACTTTCCAGTAGCTGGTGCGGGACCCAGAGACTCATCATATGAAAAAATCTTTAAATAACCAATGTGTATGTTTTTCTTTTTTCTTATGATAGTGACATATTTATTTCCTATCATTTTTAAATATCTTTTTCATTTATTACTAATAAAAACTATCCACATACACACCGTGTATTTTTATAGAAAAATGTTTGCAAAGGTCAGCCTTGAAACATCTATTTTCAATATAAGAAAACAACACACAATTTATATACAAATTCAACAGATGTTTTAAACCATAATACAGAAGATTTTATATTGTCATAAAATATTTCCTGTGTTTGATGCAGTAAAACTCAGTTAAATTTAAACCTTTATTTAAAAACCGCATTCAGTCATCTAGTTAGATATTATGCAATGCGTCGCTTGATGTTACGTCTTTGGAAGGAAACACTGTGTGTGTTTTATCCATTTGCTTTGCAGCGCAAGACTCACCAGTTTTTTGTCAAATCGTTTACGACTCCCACCAAGTGTCACCAGTGCACCTCGGTGATGGTGGGGCTGATCCGACAGGGCTGCTCCTGTGAAGGTAAGAATGAAATGGTAAGAAATGTGACCGAGTCCTAGCAGCTACCACCAAAACTGGGATCAGGCAGCTTTATTCTTTTCACAAGGCATGGAAAGGTCTGTTTTACTTAACCATTTGCTTTTCTTTGCACAACAGGAATAGAGACAATAAAATGAGCAATTTGCGAAAGTCCGTTGAATATTAGAGAAACTAGACGGATGGTCCCAGAAGCATTTTTTCAGGGGAGATACATTTAAATGTCTTATTCACCTTTATTTTATTATTCAGATGATTTTTGTGGTTTCAAAAAACCACTAATATATGTGGCAAAAGACAGCCGAAACCGGTTTGGCTCAATGGATAGAGCGTCGGTCTGCGGACTGAAAGGTCACGGGTTCGATTCCGGTCAAGGGCATGTACCTTGGTTGCGGGCATGTCCCCAGTAGGGGGTGTGCAAGAGGCAGCTGATTGATGATTCTTTCTCATTGATGTTTCTAACTCTCTATCCCTCTCTCTTCCTCTCTGTAAAAAATCAATAAAATATATTTTAAAAATATATATATATGTGGCAAAAGACATAAAAGTTATCCTTGATTCTGTTCAGTTAATTTTAACCTTGTTTGATCAGATAAATTGTTGGAAAGTAGACAGTGCAGTATCTTTTTAGAAATATTAAATGTCTGCCACTATGCCTCTAAGTTATTTTATTTCTAGTATTACTAGCAGAGGTTTTCCCTACCATGCACTGATTCATCGTCATTGTTTATGGAATGGCCGCTCTGCTTCTGGGCACTGGGCATGCAGTGGTGGATGGGAGGGGGTGGGGGCGGCACAACACAGATCCTGCCCTCACGGAGCCCACATTCTGAGAGATGAGAGCAGAGATTGTTTGAAAAGAACAAACAGTGTATTTATTTGAGCATCGCTTTATTTTTTCTATGACTTCGGAAATGAAAATTATCTAAATTATAACGGAATATAGTATTTGTGTATATTTTAGAAACATGCTTTTTTACAATCACATGAGACTTACAACTATACTAATACCTCATATAATTTACTGCTCGCTATGAAAAACATAAGAAAATTGTTACTGATTCAAATTCTGACATAGTTTCCATTTCTTGTCATCAGGGTTGGGAGGGCCCTTGAAGGGAGGTTGTCAGTCTCCAGCAGATGCGTGTAGAGAACCCTATGAAGGGCCCTGTAGAGGGCTCCATAGAGGACCCCGTAGAGAACTCTTGTACAGGGCCCAGTAGAGGACCTGAAGTGCATACTTGGATGGGGGATTAGTAGCATCCACACCATGTATTCTGTTTGGTTAGTTCTCCCAACCCAAGTGGCAAATCTCAGTTGCATTATCTTCATTAGTTTGTTAGATGCCTGAGTTTAGAGCCAAAGAAAATGCTCAGTTTGGAAAGGGGAGATTAGAGAGTTTTGAGTGAATGAAATGATGGATAATGACTGGCATTGTTGAAATTCTTTTGTTGAGCAAATAAATCAGCTCTCCAAATGACAAAGTAGCTTTTAAAAATAAATCCACAGAGAAGCATTCGTTCACCTTGCTTGTAATGAATTCTTGGTGGATTTTCTTTTTTGTAAGATGAATTTTTATTGAACTTTTGTTTCTTTTTTGTCCTTCCAAAAGCGTGTGGATTCTCGTGTCATATAACGTGTGTAAACAAAGCTCCCACCACGTGCCCAGTTCCTCCTGAGCAGACCAAAGGGCCCCTGGGCATGGACCCTCAGAAAGGAACCGGAACAGCCTATGAAGGTCACGTCAGGGTAAGCGTCATTCGCCTGGGGCTAGATTGATTTTTTAAGCTTCGTTAACGGATTAAAATGCAGTCCAGTCACCTTGCAAAGACAGTCTTTAACAGAAAATTAAATGAATAAGCTGAAACCGGTTTGGCTCAGTGGATAGAGCGTCGGCCTGCGGACTGAAAGTTCTGGGGTTCAATTCCGGTCAAGGGCATGTACCTTGGTTGTGGGCACATCCGCAAGAGGCAGCTGATCGATGATTCTCATCGATGTTTCTAACTCTATCCCTCTCTCTTCCTCTCTGTAAAAAATCAATAAAATATTTTTTTAAAAAGAAAAGAAAATTAAATGAATAAATTTACCTAATAATTTTATTTCACCAAAAGTAATGATTTGAAAGCAAAAAAAAAAAACACACACAAACTTGTCTTTGCTTGGAAATCAATTCTAAAATGTTCTGCTCAGTCTTTATCTTGTAATGAACAAATGTTGAAATCTCCATAAAGAGTCTTCAGCTCTTGGCCTTGAAGGAGAGTGGCATATGCTTATGAAGTATCAGGTTGTATCAAAGCATAATCTCACTTGTAATCTTGAATGACATCTTAAGTGTAAGCTGCATTTCATCTCACTACCAAATTTGACTTTTATGCTATTTAGAAAGAAATCCGTGACAGTTATTGTAATGAATTACTAGTCGATGTTAAAATGGTACCATTTGAAAATGTTCAGAATATAAAGTCATGCAGTGATTGAAGAATGTATTCCCGCATTTTATTAATGATGTCTGTGCCCCACCTGCTACTGTGCCAGCCAGAGTGTGGGCTGCTCAGACGTGTTATCCCCAGTTCCCACCGCGCAGGTGCACGTGCAGTGAAACGGTCTCTGGGTGGCGTTTTGGTTTGAGTTGTTTTCTTGGTGTGTCTGCCTAAGATCCCGAAGCCGGCTGGAGTGAAGAAAGGATGGCAGAGAGCGTTAGCTGTGGTTTGTGACTTCAAGCTCTTCCTGTACGACATTGCCGAAGGGAAGGCATCGCAGCCCAGCGTGGTAGTCAGTCAAGTGATTGACATGAGGTAAGCTTTCAAAGGGAAATACTGGTATCTTTGCAACATGGGGATCAAAATTGTGTGATTTTTCTTCTAATTATGTTGCCGTGTTTTTATTTAAATCTCATTTCATGTTAATGTTCTAATTTACTAATATTGCTATTCTATATAATAAAAGCCTAATACGCAAATTGTCTCCTCAGCTGGCAGGGCCAGCTGGGCAACTGCCTGAGGCTCCTCCCCCTTGCCAGCCTGGCCCGATCGGCCCCATTAGGGTGGGCGAGCCAGACCCCACCATGCACGAATTCATGCACCAGGCCTCTAGTAGTAACATAATTAAAAATAGGAAATAAGGTATAGTTATAGGACAAGTTGGAGGAGGCGCTGGGGGTCAGAGAAAAGAAGCTAATGTTTGCATCCAAAGGACCAGTTCAAAGGTTGCTGGGATATTGGAAGCCTACAGCGTAGTGTTTACATCATCACCTAAAGGCTTAGAATATAACTTCCATGGGAGGAAAGGAAATAAAAGTCTCAGTCAGAGAGGCTCTGGAATATGTGTAATGATTGGTGAGCATGTAAGTAAACACGCCGTAACTGTTTCTGGCCTCGGTTTTCAGGTCTTACTGCCCCTTCAGTGCCCTCCTTCCCTCTTCTCAGAGCTCCAGCCCTTCCCCTGGGTCCCCTACTGACCCCCTGCTCCTGCCACACGCAGCACTGCTGACCCACACTCTCTCCGTCAGTCTTCCTCCAGCTCTGACCACACTGGCATCTCGAAAACCATCGCTAACATCCTCTTCCCCATAAATATGGAATAGGAAGGAATTGGTCCAAGACATATTAGCAAGGAAAATCCGACAGTGTCTGCTAAGGGCCCAAATACAGAAAGAGGGAGAAAGACCAGAGGTAACACTAAGGTGTCAAGCCTCCAAAACCAAGAAGATGATGGTACCAGTAACCAAATTCAGGAATAAATTATTGTGGATCCATCTGTCTTAGGTGCTGAAGGAACAGTGAAAGGATAGATGAGCTGAGCTGAGGGTACTTGAGGTGTCTCATGGGAGGCAAGAGGGCTCAGGGTCATTTGTGAATCCCAGTACACTTGAGCCCACTGGTCTTGACACTCTGGGTGAGCCGGGAATTCTCTCCAGCTCTTGTGTAACGTGCCCCTATAGAGCTACCGATAAGTGGTTATGGCACTCTCAGTTGAAATGGAGGGGAAGTCAAATTTTTTTAAAGAATTCAATTTGGATGTTTTGTGCAATTCAGTTTTGAGTGTTGTTTCATATGTATTGTTTAGATGTACACCCAGGACCACACACACACACGCTTATTTTTAACGTCTCACTTTCCTTCAGGGACGAAGAGTTTTCTGTGAGTTCCGTCTTGGCTTCTGATGTCATTCATGCAAGTCGGAAAGATATACCCTGTATATTTAGAGTAAGTATGTGTGTTACAATTCGATGACTAAATTATTTGTTTTTAATGACTATGTGTTTGGCTCTCCAATACTTGAGTAGATGGATAGTGCTAAGTAAATATTTGAATTTGAGAGACCTGAGGAAAGCATTCTGTATAGCTTCTAAGCTAGGTTTTTTTTCTTGGATAATATTTTTGCATCACAATTGAAATTTCAAATAAATATTGTCACACAGAAAATGGATTAAGTGTGAGTTACCCAATTTTTTTCAATAGAAGTTTTTTCTTTTTAATCTCATTTTAAAAATTAGCATGTTTTCCAGTTTTACTGCTTTGCAACAACCACTCCAAAACTTAGTGGCTTCCTGTAACAGTGACTTACTGTTCAGCATTCGGTGGTCAGCTGTCCAGGGTTTTGGTGTTGCCTGGGGCCTCTCAGGGGCTGCATTCAGCTCACTGGGGCTGGAAGCTCCAGAATGGCCCCCTCCTCACATCCGGGGAGCTGGGGCGGCTGCTGGCGGGGCGGGCAGTCCCTCCGGGAACTCCGTGGTCTCCAGTCTCAGCAGCTGGCCTTGCTCTCCGGGGCTGGCTTCCTGGAGAGCAAAGGGCCTTTTCAGGCCTTCTGAAGAGCAGACCCCAAAAACATAGTAACACTTTTGCAGTCTGTTAGGCAAAGCAAGTCATGACATCAGCCTGGACTTAAGGGGAGGGAATAGATTCCACTTTTTAAAAAATATGTATTTTTATTGATGTCAGAGAGGAAGGAAGAGGGAGAGAGAGAGAAACATCAATGATGAGAGAGAATCATTGACTGACTGCCTCCTACATGCCCCATACTGGGGATCAAGCCCGCAACCCCAGACATATGCCCTTGACTGGAATCGAACCTAAGACCCTTCAGTCCGCAGGCTGACACTCTATCCACTGAGCCAAACCAGCTAGGGCTAGATTCCACTTTTTGACAAGAAGAATGGAATTCCATGGGAAGATAGTTGGTACTCATCTTTGGAAGCTGTCCTCAGTGCAATCTAGAATTGGTGAGTTAAGATAATAGAGGTTAAAAAAGGGGATACTGGCCCGGCCTTATGCCTGGATGCTGAGTATTTGTCAATGAGCCTTGTATCTAAGGAAGGTCAGACAAAGACTACTTTGACTCAGTTCCTAAAACAACTACTGCGCTACCTCCAGCCTCCCATGGAGCCTGTGGAAGCCCACTTTTCTGTAATTGATACACAGTGGGATTTTATTGTCATGCTGTGTAAGTTACTTTTTATAAAGGGTCCGTCTACAGTATATGTAATTTAAATCTGCCCAGGTACAGCTGCTGTTTGCATAATGATAAGCTTCATTTAAACAACTAAAGTGATTTGATCTTCTTTAAGATAATGTGAGTTATTGTTATGAAATGCCAGAATATAAGTATTTACAAACATTTCTGACTTTTAAAAGAAGTTGAAAGTTAGTATAACATAGTGCTTACGAGCATGGACAGGGACCCCACTCTTGTTGTGTGTCCTTGGGGGAATTAATTTCTCTGCATCATAGTGTTTTTATGTAAAAGGTCAGGATGTACTAACTTGATAATTACCTTAGGAAGATGGTGAGAGGTGATGTGAGTTAATACTTGTAAAGTGCTTTGATCAGTGCCCACGAGTCAGTATTTATTTAAAAGTATCAGTTGCATTTTCTAGTGACAGTGTTCTGGTGCTTTATACAAAGAAAATAAAAACGATACCGACATTTAGAATGGCATCTGCTACGTTCGCTTTGCCACGAATTCTAATGCTGGAACTAATCCTTCTCCTGACGAGGAGTGGCTGACCGCCGCTGCTGGGTCATCAGTGGACGCTCACTTTGTTGGCTATGGGCCACTCATGGTCCGTGAGGTCTGGAAGGTTGGCGACCGCTAGGCTAGTGCGAAGCAAACTCATCCAAGCATAAACTCCTGAGGGAGTCTGCTTTCTAATTTCATGAATTGGTTTCCATTTTCCTAGGTCACAACGTCCCAGCTCTCGGCTCCCAATAACAAATGTTCCATCCTGATGCTGGCCGACAGCGAGAACGAGAAGAGCAAGTGGGTGGGCGTGCTGAGTGAGTTGCAGAAGATCCTGAAGAAAAACAAGTTCAGAGACCGCTCTGTCTATGTCCCCAAAGAGGCTTATGACAGCACTCTGCCCCTCATCAAGACCACGCAGGCCGCTGCGATCATAGGTACGCATTGACAACATCGGTCATGTGATCACAGCTGTTTCCTGATTTATCTGGTCCGTGGGGACTGGCTTTCATCTGGGAATTCCAGTGTCCAGCCTGGTCAATGTTCGATCACAGGTGCAACATGTTTGTTGAATGAATGAGACCATTTTAGCGTTGTTTCTCAGTAAACAAGAGTAAGTACACTTTCAAGTATGTTTTCTTCTGACAAAAGCTCAACGTTGAACATTTCTATCCTCTGCATGTGCACCTGAAAACAGTTGTTTGGTTTCTTAAGCGTAACCTTCCATGTCCAATGTGGGTGCCAGTTGCCTTGCAGAAGTTATTGGAAAGTTTCACTGAGATGCAGGGCGGAACAGAATGCCGTTGTAATCAGAAGCCCTAAACAGTGGCAGCCTGTACGTCTGGAGCTTTAAATTACCACCATATTCCTATGTACACATCTAACTCTTTTGTCACTTTCTAGTAAATAATGAAAAGTTGAATGAGTAAGTTCAGTGCCTTTCACAAATTGGTCCAAAACAAGAAATAGAACTGAACCAAGGGCACTCATAGACTAGGTGTTAATTTTTTTCACCTTTTATTGAATAAACATTTACTTCTATAAATGTTGATATAATTTTCTAATGATTATTTTATTTAAAAAGAAATGAATGGAAATTTAATAATAAAAATTGTTATTGGTATTTTTATATTATTTATTTCAGGGGTTTTGTATCAAATTTCTTTATTATCTATTTTATTCTATTAGTTTACAGTTTTTACCTAATAAAAACGTTTCCTATTTGTTTATATCTTGCATAGATCATGAAAGGATAGCTTTGGGAAATGAAGAAGGTTTATTTGTTGTGCATGTCACCAAAGACGGTAAGAAAAACATTATTGTGGGGTAACTTGCACGTGTATGTTGCTAGAAAATCCTAAACTCTAGTTTCTAAATTCTATAAACAGCAGGATTTGCTTATGTTTTCTATAATTGAAATTCCCCACACCTAATTTGATATGTTTATAAGTCAAAGGTAATTTTTTAACCCCTATAGTCATCCTGAGTTCTAAAACATCACGTGTGGTAGATCCCCTTTCTTGTGGAACTGAGTTCTGCTGGGGGACTCGGGTCTCACCGCTGAAGAAGGTGCGGAAAGAAAACGCACCGCCTTTTCCCCTTGTTCCAACGGCACTCGAAGAGGGAGCTCACGGAAATGTGCTTGTTTTGAGGGGTTTTCCCATAGTTTATCACAAAAGATCTTTTCCTAAAGATAAATTCAATACTGGGTGAAATAAAAAGAAACCAATTTAATTTAGCATTCTTGAATGCAGAGCTCTAGGTTCTGTATTTATATCAAGTTAGTTCATGGGAAAACAATGCATTAAACTTCATTATCCATACAGATACTTCTAGTGAAATATGAGTTACTTAAAAAATAAAAATAAAACACAACGAACCCCATAGTAAAAAGTTTCCCTAGAACTTAGTGCCAGTAGAAAGGCTTGTTGTGGTGGTTTTTGAAGGTCTGGCATGCCTGGTCACAGAGGAGCTTATTGCTATGGCACCAGGGGTCTCAGTGCCAAATGCAATACTTCACTGTAGTGAGTTAGATGGTCTTGTAAGGGGTGTGACATCTTCCTCGTCCTCTGTGACTTCTGAGCTGTTCCTCTTTTCTACATGTGCATCCTTCTTTATTGTAAGTTTAGAAAATATCCTTTTGAGTATGATTGGAATATGATTAATAAATAAACATCATTTTGCATCTGATTTATTATGATTTCTTTGCATAGAAATTGTTCGGGTTGGTGACAACAAGAAGGTCCATCAGGTTGAACTCATTCCAAACGATCAGCTTGTTGCTGTGATCTCAGGACGGAATCGACACGTACGCCTTTTCCCCATGTCAGCTTTGGACGGACGAGAGACCGAGTTCTATAAGCTGGCGGAAACCAAAGGCTGCCAGACCATAACGTCTGGGAGGTTGCGTCACGGCACCCTCACGTGCCTGTGTGTGGCCATGAAAAGGCAGGTCCTCTGCTATGAACTGTTTCAGAGCAAGACCCGTCACAGGAAATTTAAGGAAATTCAAGTCCCGTCGAATGTCCAGTGGATGGCAGTCTTCAGTGAGCACCTCTGTGTGGGATTCCAGTCGGGATTTCAAAGGTACCCCTTGAGTGGAGACGGAAGCCCGTGCAGCCTGCTCCACTCGAGTGACCACACCCTGTCCTTCATCACGCACCAGCCCCTGGACGCCCTCTGCGCCGTGGAGATCTCCAGCAAGGAGCACCTGCTGTGTTTTAGCAGCATCGGCGTCTACACCGACTGCCAGGGCCGCCGCTCTCGGCAGCAGGAGCTGACCTGGCCTGCTCACCCCTCCGCTTGTTGTAAGAGTCTCTTCTCTTCCTGTCTCTTTCTCTTGCTTCTACTCCATCTCCCAGATGTATGTAGTGTTAATAACCGGTCATTTTTAAGCCATCCGTAAGGTTTTTCCTAAGTATTAATTATGTCATTTACGTAAAGTACTAGTAACCTTGTGTAGGTAAGCCCATTTAATTAAGGAATATTGTACTTAGTTGGATTTTAACCCATGTTATTGTATTTTGAAAAAAAACCTAAATAGTATCTTCATGGTCCTCAAAAATACAGTGGGATTATTAATAGCTGGAGAAGCAGTTACTAAGGCATTAGTTAATCAGTTCTGTGAAGGATAGAGTAGCATCTATAAGAAGTGTTATTCAACTTCATGTTTTTATTTAGATAGGTATATATTAAAAATTGTTTCTTTCACTCAGGAAATAATTATGACATAAATAAGTTTTGGGATACTCAGTATAGCTATTTCACTGCCTATCCTATCTAATAAAGCAGAAATATGCTAATTGACCATCATGCCCTCACAAAGATGGTGGGGCCCACAGCCAATAAGGAAGGGAATATGCTAATTGCCACACTATCAAAGATGGCGGCGCCCAGTCCCCTCCCTCCACCAGGGCAGCAGGTGCGCGGCCCGCCTCCAGACGGGTGTGGGTGCTCCGCGAGCCTGCCTCCAGAGTCCCCCAGGTCCCGTAGCCCCCAGCCACCCAGGGCCATCCCGAGGCACAGGCAAGCCTCGGATGTTGGCCGCCCAGCCACCCAGGGCCTCCTGGGGCTTGGGTAACCAGAGCTGGCCGAGGCTTGCACTGCTGGCAGTGGCAGCAGCAGAAGTGTGATGGGTCATTGCCTTCCCGATTGCCGGGTCACCTGCCGACCTTGAGGGCTCCTGGACTGTGAGAGGAGGCAGGCTAGGCTGAATTTCATGCACCGGGCCTCTACTGATATAATAAGTAGGAGTATCCAACCCAAAACATTTTGTTTGTAGTGGAAGGTACTTAAATGTGTTTAAATGCTGAAGAGACGTAGCCGCTAGGGAACTAGGAAAGTGACTCCGTAGTAAATGCAGGAACTGGAGTAAGACCCCCCCAAGGAGGCCAGAGGCGGGGATGCAGACCCGGGGAGGATGCAGGCAGCAGGAGGAAGGCGCCTCCCACCACAACCAGGAGGAGGGCTGGGAGCACGGCGCCTTTACGGCTCAGCAGGAGGGCGTTTGGAGGGCATGCATGCTTAGTGCAGGCACATCAGGAAATCTAGATAAAAAGAGAAAAGTACTCCTAATCCACAATCGGAGACACCACTGTACTTATCGCTTTGTTTCTTGTGAAATATATACTCACATCTGTGGCATCTTATTTAGAATGAATGCTGTTTTGTAGCCTAGTCAGAGGAGTCATCGTTTGACTTACCATATGGAGTAAGAAATGGAATACCTGGCTTTTATGAATAGTTAAAAGTAACCGGCAGACCGCTCTCTCCTCCTCCTCCCAGGCTACAATGCCCCCTACCTGTCCGTGTACAGTGAAAACGCGGTTGACATCTTCGATGTGAACTCCATGGAGTGGATTCAGACTCTCCCACTCAGAAAGGTAACTTAACACTAACATATGGGCTGAGCGAACTAATGTGTGTAAGGGAACACTAACATGACTAGTTAGCTAATTTTCACTAATTCAGCAATTTCTGGCATATGTAATGGTAATGTGGGATTTAGCTAAGAATGAAAAAAATCAATCTGGTTATTGATTTTTATCAATTATAAGTAGCTCAATTCCACACTATTCTTATTACGTTAGTTTTGCTGTACGGAGTGTGATTATTATAATGAACAACTAGAGTATGTCCTATGACCTACGATGCCAGCATTAACTTCCTGACTGGTTTGAGGAGCGCTGGGGGGTCTACATTATTGTTAATTGTGATGTTTTTCACATAACGGTGTTCAGTTTGAAATCCTGTGAGAACAGATTTACAGACCAGAGAATAATTAGAATTAGAACCAAAACTGTGTTTAATCATTCCATAATCCTATGTAATAAAAGGCTAATATGCAATTTGACCGAACTGCAGGATGACCAGTCTCTATGACATGCACTGACCACCAGGGGGCAGGTGCTCAACACAGGAGCTGCACCCAGGTGGCCAGTGTGCTCCCACAGAGGGAGCACTGCTCAGCCAGAAGCTGGGCTCATGGCTTGCGGGGGGGTGGACCGAAGCCAGCAGTCGAACATTCTCCAAGGGCTCCTGGTCTTCGAAAGGTCACCGGCCGGGCTGAGGGACCCCCTCCCCTTCCACCCAAGCACACATATTTTGTGCACCGGGCCTCTAGTTAAAACATAAAGCTTTTACATGTTCCCAGTAAAACAATATTTTTCTTTAACATTTCCCTGTGATAACGTAAAGAGAAATTTTTGTAAGTAGCATAGAATGGTTATTTTGCAAGAGTAGTATTTCACATCGAAAATGTAGCAGGTGTCGTTAGTTAGGGGCTAGGGCTGGAAGAATAGGTAGAAAGTAGCCACGGCCGAATTTAAAATCGTCCTCGTCATCAGCGAAGAAGCTCCTGCAGATGCCGCCACACCGTATAGAGCTGCTGAACACAGTCCGTTAGCCTGTACGTTTGGGTTGGTTACAGTTAGTTGTCCCTTTTATCTTTATCACGTAAACTTTACGATAGATATGTAAGAAGACATGACCTTGAAGAACCTGACTAAACTGACCTAACTTTAAAGAGCCAGGAGATTCCCTCTGTCACTGCATTTGCCGGTGTGATCTCTCTCACCGCATACTCCCTCCAGGAAATCACTCCCCAAGTGCTGTTTATCATTTCCTCTCTTATCACAAAATCCGGAGTTTTTTTGTATATTTAACTATTTCTGAACAACATATTATTCAGTTTCGCTTGCATTTGTGTGTCCCCTTCCGCCTTGCTTTCTTCATGCATTTACTGCGTTTCTGGGATGCACCAGCCACCATGTTGTTACACAGTGTTCTCTGCTTTCGCTGTATACAATGTTGTTGGGTGAAGAGGTCATCACTGATGAGCTTTCTGCTGTTGTGAGCATCATTGCGTACACCTGGTGCACGGTGTATGCAGGAGTTTCTCTTAAGTCCTGTGCCTGGGCATGGATTGGTGGTGCCCGGGAAATGCAAGTACTTGGCTTTACAAGCTGGTGTCAGGTTATTTTACAAAGTAATTATGCCCGTTGGCACTCCCGCCAGCAGTGTGTAAGGGTTTTTTCTGACACACATCCTCTCTAATGCTGCCATGGTCACATAGTGTTATGGCCCTTATAAGTGGTTATAAAGTGGTATCTCATTGAAGTGTTAATTTGCATGTCCCCCGTTAACTATGTTGTTTGTCCATTTAGTTCAAACAAGGTCATAAAGTATCTGTGTTGATATCTTAGTATAATCATTTGGTCACTAATGGCTTTGAAGTAATCAAATTTAAGGTTTAAATGTATTTCTACATTTTTTTTTGGTCCAGAATAGTCTTCCTTTATAATGTTATCATTATAACTTTATTCAAATTAGATAATTTTATACCTTCCCAGTTAGAACTAATGTTAATTTCTTTCCTGATTTTCTGAGAGGGTTCTATTTTGAAGGGGAAGGATATAAATGTGTGTGGTTTATAAATAGGCCAAAAGTTTTATGGTTTAATTTTTGAAGGTTTTGTGGAAATACTAATTTAATTTTTTATTATTTTAGGTTCGACCCTTAAACAGTGAAGGATCATTAAATCTTTTAGGCTTGGAGACGATTAGATTAATTTATTTCAAAAATAAGATGGCAGGTAAGAAGACGCACACCAGTAGGACACCTTCCGTAGTGTTCTCCCTGAGCTGACTGCCCGCGGATAAGTGGCAGAGCCCAGGTTCAAACCCGTTGTGTCTGCTCCGAAGTCTGCCATCTTGGTCGCTGTCATACGCTCTCTATAGGTGGAGATAAACTATTCGACAAAAGCCGTTCTGGTTAGCTTGCTTATCTGGAGAGTCGGAATATTTGTTTCTGACTCACCTGGTTGTTTCTCTGTGAAACACCCAGATAAGTAGAGGAAGTGGGACTAAGTGTGTTCCCTGTACATGTGTACGGGGAACCGAACCAGGGTTTGTGGCACCAAAACTGTGACCGCTCCTCCGGAGCGCCTGCGTGGGCTGTGGGAGTACCTCTCCTGCCATTGGATGCCTCAGGCTTAGAGGCTTTCCTCTCCTCCCTGATGTTGCTCAGAGACGGCATCTGCCATGTTGGGTGCAATTGTCTACTTGGCAGTATGTTCACATACGCCAACATGTGCTGTATGTTCACATACCCAGCATGTGCTGTATGTTCACATATCCAGCATGTGCTGTGTGTTCACATACCCAGCATGTGCTGTATGTTCACATACGCCAACATGTGCTGTATGTTCACATACCCAGCATGTGCTGTATGTTCACATACCCAGCATGTGCTGTATGTTCACAAATGCCAACATGTGCTGTTGACTTCTGTGCATTTGGATGGGAATGGAATGAGGTGGGCACGGGCTCGCTTGGTGATTGGACAGGTGTCCTCGGCCCCAGAGGAGAGCAGGGAGGTGGCAGAGTCTTGTCTGTAGTAAAGGCAGCTGGTAGGAACACGATTCCTTTCCTGACCCCACACCTCGCAGATGGCATCATGCAAAGGAAATGCTTTAATATGTAAAAATAATTGTAATGATCATGTACATGAGTAATGTACCTTTCATGCCTGATTACTGTGCAGGTTAGCAATAGCTTACCACCCTGAGCCAGTGAGACCAACACCTAGAAGGAGAGAGAGGTGTGCGGTCAGTGCGGGAGGGTGGCCAGCGTGACCGGGCACCGAGGCAATGACCGGGCACCGAGGCAACGACATTTTTCTTTCTTCCTAGTAAAATGGTGCTATTTTATGTTTATCCTGTATAATAAAAGGCTAATATGCAAATCGACCGAATGGCAGAACAACCGGTCGTTAAGACGTGCACTGACCACCCAGGGGAAGTGCTGCTCAGCCAGAAGCTGTGCTCACAGCTGGCGAGCGAGGGGCAGTGGCGAGAACCTCTCCTGCATCCGTGGCAGTCGGACATGCCCCAGGGGTTCCCAGACTTTGAGAGGATGCAGGTTGGGCTGAGGGACCCCCCCTGAGTGCACAAATTCTGTACATCGGGCCTCTACTAATCAAATAAAAGCGAAATTACCCTTTATAAGTTGTTTAATTTCAGCATCTATCTGTTTATGTACTGTTGAAGATTATTGCTTATTTTACTGTTAGCATTGCATGTACTGTGATTGCACAATTGATTAAGTTCATACTGTCTTAGAGACAAATGGGTAAAAAGCACTCTAACGAACATCGTTGTTCTCTGTATTTTTTTAAACAGAAGGGGATGAGCTGGTAGTTCCTGAAACCACAGATAACAGTCGAAAGCAGATGGTTAGGAATATTAACAACAAGCGGCGATACTCCTTCCGGGTGCCAGAGGAGGAGAGGATGCAGCAGAGGAGGTAGGCGTTTCATTCTGCGTCCCGCACAGGCTGGGAGCATGCAGGGCTGTCGGTGATGATGTGGTATTTGTTTTGGAAGGAACATTTGATCTCTGAAAATCTGTGGTGGGAAAAACTGCAGTAATGACTGTACATCCCAGTCACTTTAATTAACACTCTCCACGTTGTGTGAATTAGACTAAAGTACCAGATTTTGATTCATTTCTCTATATGTGTGGAGTAGTTAGAAGTTTTAGACTGTGTACCTTGTTTTAATGGAAACATAGAACCAATCATTGCATAGTAGTAAACCTTATATATTTAAGAACTTAGGTTCACTCTTCTCTTTATGAGTAAACAAAAATAGGTTTATAGTATTTCCAATTACATGTAAAAACATTTCTAAGTGTTATCAATTATTTTGAGACCTACATAAATGATCAGAATTATCTGTGAAATAGAATAGAGCTTCTTCTATGTCTCTACTAAAATGCTCTTTTCTCACCAAAAATTGCAAAATCTTTTATTTAAAATGTAAAACAAATCTAAGTAAATTTATATTGATTATATTATTTTAATCCTATCCATATTTACACGATGTCACATTTATTTTCATGAAAAAATAATGTATACTTAATTTGTTTCTAGAGTTATCTAGATTGATCATAGAAGTGTCTAATCGGGTGTTTTTTCTTACAGAGAGATGCTACGAGATCCTGAAATGAGAAATAAATTAATTTCTAACCCAACTAATTTTAACCACATAGCACACATGGGTCCAGGAGATGGAATACAGATCCTAAAAGACCTGCCCGTGGTAAGAAAATGAGAAGTGAATGTGAACTTGACTGGGGTTAAGAGTAAGGGAGGGAGATACGTGTGTGTGTGTGTGTGTGTGTGTGTGTGTGTGTGTGTGTGAGACTTAAAAGCAATATTAGGACAATGAGGAAATGTTTATCACAGTGTGTCACAATACATGTGAGATGCGTGACGGCACTCCTGAGAGAAAAATATAAAGTTTAGATTCTGTCAATCACCAAAGCACAAGTTTATGGTCAGCTGCATAATCTGTAAACGTGTCCTATGCCTCCAGCTTCCAAGAGGGTTCCTACCAACATTCAGAGCTTGGTGACCAGATCACTCAGACTTCGTTGTGTCTTAGTGATTCCGTGCAGATGTGGTGCTCTCCTCCCCCTCCTCCCCTATCCCCCAACACTCCCCCCAGGACCGCACTGGTTGGTCAGACTGCCGCACGGGAAAACTATTGTTTTGTTTGACAGCATTAGGATGGGTTCCTGGACCTGTTATGCAGAGCTCAGTCTGTTAGTGGGCTCCACTTACACTTAGCATTCCAGCCGCTGTCTGACGCGCTCTGCTCGCTATGGGAGCCTGAGCGTGACCCTGCTGTCAGTGAAGAGCATCTAGACCTGGCACAGAATTCTAAGCGTGATTTATGGACTGGCGATTTGGGAGATGAGAGTGAACTGTGACCGCAGCTCCTGCTAAGGAAGTCTGTTATTATCCACATTACTAACGCTGTGGTCATCGCAGATGTGAACTCACTGCCAGGAAATGATAGGTAATATAATTAATGTGTGGTCAGGTTTTTAAAAAATTAAGCCTTTATAGGTAGCTTTGCACTTACTTCATGGGAAGAACAAAAAATGTGCACTCATTTGAGTCCAAGTCCCTCGTTGTAAATATCCCAATTAACCAGGTGGCCTGCTTATGAAGGAAAGTGACATTCTCATTAAGACATTATGTGGTTATATTAACACTAGTAGTTCTGTGCACGAATCAATGCACCAGTAGCTCTCTGCAGGGCCTGGCTGCTCTGCACCACTGCCTCAGGCCCTCCACGGTCAGGGGCAGGATGCTTGCCTCGTCACTGCGGTGACAAAGCAAGCATTCCGCCAGGCCTCTCACTCTGCCGCTCTCAGCAGCCGCCCCCCAGGACTGGGGGACTCCAGTGGGGCTGAGGGGATGGGGCGCCACTACCTTTGTGACGGAGTGACAGTTAATTTGCATATTACCCTCTTATTAGATAGGATTCCTTCCTTTGCATTCAAATCATTCATAATAGTCCTTCATCCTTTTGGAATGGGACTTGCATTAGCTGTGCTGGTTAATGTAAATAAATTGTACAAAAAGAGTGCAGCTAATCTTGATATAGTAATTAAAACTAGAAAATGTAAGGCTGAGCATAAATATTAGGCTAAAAATATTGGGCATAAATAGAGGCTGAGTCCACATATTAAACTTTAATATTTAAATTAGAGGCCTGGTGCACGAAATTTGTGCACAGGGGTGTGTGTTCCTCAGCCCAGCCTGTACCCTCTCCAATCTGGGACCCCTTGAGGGATGTCCAACTGCCCATTTAGGCTCAATCCTAGGAATCATGCCTAAACGGGCAGTCGGACATCCCTCTCACAATCCAGGACTGCTGGCTCCCAACTGCTCACCTGCCTTACTTCCTGATCACCCCTATCCACAACCCTGCCTGCCTGATAAATGCCTAATTGCTTCCCTGCCAGCCTGTTTGCCCCTAAACTCTCCCCTGCAGGCCTGGTCACCCCTAACTGCCCTTCCCTGCAGGCCCAGTGGCCCCAAACTTCCCTCTTCTGCCAGCCTGGTCACCCATAACTGCCCTCCCCTGCAGGCTTGATGGCCCCCAACTGCCCTCCCTTGCAGACCTGGTCCCTCCCAACTCCCCTCCCCTGCTGGCCAATTGTGGCGGCCATCTTGTGTCCACATGGGGGCAGGATCTTTGATTACATGGGGGCAGCCATCTTGTGTGTTGGAATGATGACCAATTTGCATATTACTCTTTTATTAGATAGGATAGAGGCCTGGTGCTTGGGTGGGGGCCAGCTGTTTTGCCCTGAAGGGTGTTCTTGATCAGGGTGGGGGTTCCCTTGGGGCATGGAGGGGCCTGTGGTGGTTTGTAGGCTGGCCACAGCCCCTGGCAACCCAAGCAGAGGCCCTGGGATCTGAGATTTACTTATCTTCTATAATTGAAATTTTGTAGCCTTGAGCTGAGCCAAGCCTCCTGCTGGCTCTGTGGCCACAACCATTTTTGTTGGGATTTGTTTATCTTCTATAATTGAAATTTTGTAGCGGAGGCCAGATCACTGAGGGAGCTTGGCTTTCTCCATCGCTGGGGGAAACCCAAGCCTCTTGCTCTCTCCATCTCCATGGCTGCCACCATTTATTTATCTCCTAGTTTTTATAAAAAGACAATAAGATCAGTAAAAGCAAACTCGTGCCACAGATCTATAATAATCAGGAAATGGTTTTGTGTTTCTGAAGACGTTTCCTGATCTTTTTAGGATTGTGACATGAGTTTGCTATTACTGATGTTATTTTCCTAAATAAAATAGAAACTGTGGAATGATGTTTGTTTTATTGAGTTGTACACTTGAAACCTGTATGGATTTGCAAACCATCATTGCCCCAATAAATTCAAATTTTAAAACAAAGAAAAGAGACCGTTTGGTAATAATACGGTAAGAGGCTGGTTGTCGGTTCACTTGTTCTTTTGTCATTTCTTGCTTTTTCTATCATGTTTTTGGTAGGTGTGGCCACGTAAGAAAATGCGGGAGTGAACTCTGACAGGCCTTTGACTGAAAGCCCAGTGTTCACATGACGATAGCAATAGGAGAGAACGGTTTGGTTCATAGGTGGAGGATTTTTTTGCAAATCAGCTGTTTAAGTACCTGGTGCACGATGATTACAAAATATCACTCCACGGCCTAGAAATATTTCATTAAAGGTTCATTTCTGATGTGAAGTGCTTATTTCATTTTCCCTACATGCATGTTGTGTGAAATGTCACATGTAACCAGTGGCTCCATTTCATCACCTCATCACCGTTTTCTCCTCTGTTTTGATAGCCAGGCCTCCCCTCTCCATCCCCTCATCACCACTCCGGTCTGATCTCCTCTCCGGTCAACTTTGAGCACATCTATCACATGACCGTTAATTCTGCTGAAAAGTTTCTCTCTCCTGGTTTCGTAAACCCTGTGCATTCCTCGTCTCTGCGCTCTGTCCCCGGTGCACCCAGCTTTATGGCTCTGAGGGTATGATCGGCTGAGTCGGGTGTTAACTTACTCACCTGCTCCTGAGCGACTGCCCAGGCGGCCCTTTTTCCCCTTCTCCTCCTCCTCTTCCTCCTCCTCCTCCTCCTCCTTTTCCTCTTCCTCCAAGTTCCGCTTCGTTTCTTCTTTTGAAGAGAAAGATGAGGACAGAGAGGATGTCATTTTATTTTTGAAACTGTGTTAGAGGTTTTTGTATTTTTCCTAACACATTTGCCATCGAGGTATTTCCATTACAGATACCATGATAAGAAATAGCCCCCAAGTGGGTCCTTGTTCTGTTAAAAACAAAAGAGGGGTCCCAGAACTTCAGAGTTTTTCGTGGCTTGTTCGGAGAATGTTCTGTATTCGGTGACATTTAAAGGCTGTGGCAGGGCTGTCCTCAGGCCTCTCCTCTGGCTTACAAGTCTCCACACAGTGTCGGTGGACAACAGGGAGGTCACAGGAGAAGGTGGGCTTGCTAACCCTCAGGCTGCTGGTGCGCCTTTACTTCCAACCGGGGTCCCGGGGAAGCGCCAAGTCAGAGGAGAAGCACCAGCTGTGCAGCCTCTGACGGTCCCTGCTGTCCGGCCGGCCACTGCCTCGTGCTGCCGGTGGCTTCACGGTGGAGAGCAGCGGCACCAACGCTGAATACCCACCTTCCCATCCTGTACGGACCGCTGCAGCGGCGTTTCTCAAGTTAGTTTTGTGTTTTCTGTGGGGTTTTTATTGTTAATTCTCACCCAGGATATTTTGCCATTGAATTTTAGAGAATGAAGGGAGAGAGACAGAAACATCGATGTGAAAGAGACACATCGATTGGTTGCCTCCTGCACGCGCCCCAACCCTGGCCAGGGAACCTGTAAGCAAGGTGTGCGCCCTTGACCAGAATCGAACCCGGGACCCTTCAGTCCACAGGCCAATGCCCTATCCACTGAGCCAAGGCTCTCACGTTAATTTTACAGATAACAAGGTGTTTGGATCATATCATGCAAAACCATTTTCTGTAGTGCCCTTTGGCTTAGGTAAATCACAGCATTAACTGGTTATTTGTGTTCATCGGAAATTAGTTTCCCGTAAGAAAACTAGCTGCAGGGTGAGACGTTCATTCTCCTACTTTTGTCTGTATTATAAATGAACTAGAGACCCGGAGCACGTGATTCGTGCACGGGGTGGGGGGTGTGTGTCCCTTAGCCCAACCTGCACCCTCTCCAATCAGGCTCTCCTCAGGGGATGTTCAACTGCCCGTTTAGGTCCGATCCCAATGGGCAGCCGAACATCCCTCTCACAATCCAGGACTGCTGGCTCCCAGCCACTCACCTGTCTGCCTGCCTGATGTCCCTAACCGCTTCTGCCTGCCAGCCTGATCACCCATAACCACTCCCCTGCCAGTCTAATCGATGCCTAACTGTTCCCCTGCCAGCACGATTGCCCCTAACTGCCCTCCCCTGCAGATCTGATCGCTCCCACTTGCCCTCCCTTGCAGGCCTGGTCCCTCCCAACTGCCTTCCCCTGCTGGCCTGATTGCCCACAACTGCCCAAGATGGCAACCATCTTGTATGTTGGGGTGATGGTCAATTTGCATATTACTCTTTTATTAGATGTGATGTCATTGTCCTTGACCTTAAATTATGATGTCATTTAAGTATCTTATTTAAAATAAGGTGACTTATGATAAAGTAAACCTTAGTGTGGAAACAGAAGCAGGGAATGGGTTCTAGGAGAAGGTTGTGTAAATCAGTCAATTTCTCATAACAAGATGGTGGGAATATTGCTAAGTGAGCCATTTATGTTACAAACAGAAACACTGCTGTCCAGGAACGCTCACCGAAGCCCTAAGCAGTCTGTCCGTGAAGGCGCCGGCAGGCTGGGCGCCGGGTCACTGCAGGGGAGAGCAGTTAGGGGTGACCAGGCTGCAGGGGAGAGCAGTTAGGGGTGACCAGGCTGCAGGGGAGAGCAGTTAGGGGTGACCAGGCTGCAAGGGAGAGCAGTTAGGAGGGATGAAGCCGACTGTTAGCTGAAAGGATGAAAGGACTGTTAGCTGGGGCTGCTGCTGCCTTTTTGACAAAACACGCCTTCTATGTGTCACCCTCGTTGTGTCACATCCCGTGCTGATGGGGGGGGGGGGTGATTGTAGGAAAGGTGCCCCAGGCTGGGAGCGGAGACGGGAAGATGAGGGCGGAGGCCGTGGGCTTCCCTCCCGCAGGGATGGGGGAGGGGTTGTTACAGGAAAGGGGCCCCAGGCTGGGAGCAGAGGCGGGAAGGTGAGGGCGGAGGCCGCTCTCACCTCTTCCCTTTGTGCACCCTGTGCCTTTGCTGGTGCCGCCAGGTCGCCCCCGGGTGGTGAAGGTGAGACATTACACTGACTGTGAACGTTCAGTCCTTTCTTCTTAAAGAAGGTAAAGCATTCGCTTCAGACAAATAACGCACCAAGAATTACATGCACTTTGCAAATTTGACATGTGGGCCAAAACGGAGGGGGTGGGCTTGGGGCCGGCTGCCCGCCACGGCCCAGTGAGGGCTCTGCAGGGTTCCGGCTCCTCAGGTGGCTCCCCAGGCCGTCAGTGCGGGCCTGCCCGGGGGACTTGTTCTTCCTACCGCCCGTCCCTGTGGTGTCAGCCCGACGCCCCTTCTGAGCGGAAAAGGTTGGTCCCCAAGGAGGCCACACCCCCTCCCGCGTGTGAGACTCCCTCAGGCCCTTTCCCACCTCGACACAGCATCACTCAGCAGCTGGATGGGAGCCTCCTGTGCCGGGCTCCTTCTGTGCCGGGCTCCTCGGGCTCGGGCACCAGGCACTGCTGCTCGGACGGAGGCTGGATGCCGGGCGGACGGCACAGGCAGGTGGCAGTTTGGTGTCGCGCCAGAGAAACGTGCTCGAAGCACCAGCTCCTCCCTCTCCTCCCCGATTTCCTCCAAACGTCTTTGGCTGCTGTTCCCAGCAGATACGGCCTCTGACCTGGAGCCGCCTCTCCGCCATGCGTGTCCCCCTCGCAGCGCCCCGGCTGGGCTGGGCGGGGGGTGTAGGCCTCTGGTCGGATCATTTGGTTTCTGAAGATTGCAGTGGCGGACGGACGGACGGACGGACGTTTCTGCAGGAAGCCGGCTCTCCGCTGAGAGCTGCTCTCTCTCTCTCTCTCTCCCTAGAACCCGCGGCCTCAGGAGAGCCGGACGGTGTTCAGCGGCTCCGTCAGCATCCCCTCCATGAGCAAGGCCCGCCCCGAGCCCGGCCGCTCCATGAGCGCCAGCAGCGGCCTGTCGGCAAGTGAGTGGCCGCCTGCCCCTGCGGGCCCCTGTGCCCCGTGCATGCGCCCCCTACCGTCCCCTCCTGCCCCCACACCCGGCTGCTCCTCACCGCCCAGCAGGCTGAGTGCCGGGTGCACCAGCCCGTGCGCCCTGGGAGGCAGCGGCCATCAGAGGGCAGGCACCCAGGTGACATCACCCATAACCCAGGTGCTGTGAGACCAGGGCCAGGGGGCTGTCCCCTGAGGAGGGCAGGGGCCTGGAGGAGGGCAGGGGCCTGGGGAGGGCAGGGCAGGGGCCTGGGGGAGGCCAGGGTCCTGGGGGAGGCCAGGGCAGGGCAGGGTCCTGGGGAGGAGGGCAGGGGCCTGGGGGGGAGGGCAGGGGCCTGGGGGAGGGCAGGGCAGGGGCCTGGGGGAGGGCAGGGCAGGGGCCTGGGGAGGGGGGGCAGGGGCCTGGGGAGGGCGCGGCAGGGGCCTGGGAGGGCAGGGGCCTGGGGAGGGCGGGGCAGGGGCCTGGGAGGGCAGGGGCCTGGGGGGGGGACGGGGGCCTGGGGGGGGGGGGCGGGCAGGGCAGGGGCCCGGGCAGGGCAGGGGCCAGGCGCCCTGGGCTGCCCTGAGTAGACGGACCAGCAGGTGAGGGCTGGGCTCTGGGCGAGCTTGGAGCCAAGGTCACAGCGGCCTCGCCGTCCGTCAGCGAAGCGCGGAGCCAGGCGGCAGGGCGGTGGGGCCTCGGCTCACTGTGCGCCCCGCAGGGTCCTCCGCCCAGAACGGCAGCGCGCTCCGGAGGGAGTTCCCGGGGGGCAGCCACGGCGCCCAGCGGCAGCCCCTGCCGTCCCCGTCCGAGGGCTCCCTGTCCTCGGGGGGCATGGACCAAGGCAGCGACGCCCCGGCCCGCGACTACGACGGGGAGGTGAGTGCGGGCCTGCGGGGCGGCGGGGGCGGGGCGGCCTCCGTCCGACCACCAGGCGGGGGGCCGGGCCGCCTGCCCGCCGCCGCCACCGACGCCGCCTTCGCCCGCAGGACTCGGACTCGCCGCGGCACTCCACGGCCTCCAACAGCTCCAACCTGAGCAGCCCGCCCAGCCCCGCGTCCCCACGCAAGACCCAGAGCCTCTCCATGGAGAGCGCCGACCGCGGCGCCTGGGACCCGTGACCGCGAGGGCCGGCCTCCGTCCTCCCGCCCTCCCCGCCGCCGCGGCCGCCCGCCGTGGAGCCGCCCTCCGCAGCCTCCAGCCCCGCTCCGGCCGCGCCCTCACCCCATGCCCTCCGGACTCCCGTGGGGGGGGTACGCGGGAGAGCAGCGTGCTGTGCCGAGGACAGAGGATGCATATACACATACGAGCGATCACTGAATGGAGGCCTGTCGTTTCTGTCTGTCCTCAGCCGCCGCCGCCCGCGCACAGCCGCCCCCTCCCTGCCCCCGGCCGGTCCCCCACCTGCGGCCTCAGGGAGCGGGCAGCGGGCGCGGGTTTGGGCTGTGCCCAGCGTGTGAAGCCCTTCCGCAGCCTCAGGGGCAAACCTTTTTCTGGGGGAGCCTGAGCCACCCCCTCTGACCCCTCCAGCCCACAGGCACGGGCCGCTGCAGGCCGCTGGGAGGAGGTGCGGGAGGAGGTGCGGGCCGGCCTCGGGGGCGCCGAGCGCCGCCCCTTCCCCGAGAGCCCGGGAAGGGGGTTCATTACGAACACTGCCCCCCCCCCCACGGCAGGACACGAGCAGCCGCAGCCTTAGCCCCTCCCCGGCCGCGGGAGGGAGGCGGCTGGGCCCTGAGCTGGGCGCCTGGCTGCTCCTTCCCGGGGCCGGCGCCTCCGGGGGCTGAGTCAGGGGGCGCTGGGTGCGGGCTCGGCTGCACAAGGTGCCGGGAGAGGAGTTCAGAGACGCTGGGCGTGGGCGCGAGGCCTGGGCTGGGCTGGCTCCGCACGGCAGCTCGGCCCTCGCTGGCTGGCCATGGCCGCGCCAGCTCCCCCTCCAGAACCCGCCCCTTTGGGAAGGGAAGGTCCCCACCATAAACGCGTCCTGGGCCTCCGGCACCGGGCCCAGGCCTGGGTCATTGCACAGCCTGGGGGCTCCTAACGCGGCTCTGCCCGGCAGGACACTCCCTCCCCCGGCCTCCCCCCTCCTCCTGGGACTCAGCCTTTCGTTATCTCTCCGACAACCAAGTGAATCTTGGAAATTGGTCGCCTGTAGGTGCTTGCTTTTTAAAGGATGTTTTTAGGATCAGACTCACCCTCCCGGGTCCCTCGGCCTGAGCCCAGCCTTCGCCTCCGGGGGCAGCGAGGGCGGAGGAGAGGGCCTGTCCGGCGGCTCCTGGCACTTCCGTTCCACGCACTCGGGGGTCCTACCTTCCCCCCCCCACCCCCACCCCCGAGCGGCCGGATGCTGGACCCTCCCGGCGGCCTGGGGAGGACTCCAGGGGTGACGCCTCGGGGTTCCCAGGCCGTGGCCATCCTGCCGTCCTGCCCGAAACAGCGGCCCCTCGGCGCAGCGGGCCGTGAGGGGGAGCGGGGCCCGGGGGGGGCGCAGCGGGGCGTGAGGGGGAGCGGGGCCGGGGGGGGGCGCAGCGGCCGTGAGGGGAGCGGGGCCGGGGGCGGCGGGAGCTCCCCTCGGCGGGGACAGCTGCTCTCCGGCGGCCTCGGTGCTGTCCGGCCACATGGCGCTCCCCCGGATTCCGCCTTTGGGGGCTGGGGGTGCGAGACGCTGTGCACCGGGGCCGGAGCACGAAACCCGAGCGGAGGCGCCTCCCCGGCCGCCGGCTCGGCCTCCCCCCGGCCCGGCGCCCGGACCCGGCGGTCAGGAGGGCGCCCGGTCTGGTCACCTTCATCACAGACACGGTTTCTTTCTGCCAGAACAGAGCTCCTGTCAGGCGAGGACGCAGGTCGGTTCCCTTTGCTGACGAGCCAGCGCCGGCCTGGTGTGGCGGTCCCGGGCGCAGCGCCGGCCCGGACCCCATGGTCCGCTTTCCGGGAGCCCGGCCCTCAGCGGACACCGAGCCTCTGTCCCCGGCGCCCAGCGCCCTCCGAGCCCAGAGCTGTGAGGCGGCCGCGCCTGTGAGAGGCGGCCGCGCGCCTGTGAGAGGCGGCCGCGCGCCTGTGAGAGGCGGCCGCGCGCCTGTGAGAGGCGGCCGCGCGCCTGTGAGAGGCGGCCGCGCGCCTGTGAGAGGCGGCCGCGCGCCTGTGAGAGGCGGCCGCGCGCCTGTGAGAGGCGGCCGCGCGCCTGTGAGAGGCGGCCGCGTGTGCGGGGCCTCCGTGTCTCAGAGCAAAGCCGGGGCGGACAGGCGGACGGACAGCAGCCGTGGCGGCCTCACGGGCACACCGCCCGGCCAGCGGGCCCGGCCGCCCGCCCACCTCGCCCATCGCACCCACCGAGTGGCACTCGCAGCGACGTGGCCGGCCGCTGGCTCCCCACGCCCCTCCCGGCCAGCTCCCGTGTCACCCCTCCCTCCCGGGCCGCCCCCAGCCCGGCCTCCGCAGCCCCGGCCGGCTGCCCGTGCCCCGGGAGCCCTGGTCACTTCGGGGGGAATGGGGAAACCAAGCCTGAAACGTCAGGAAAACACGGTGCCGGCCTTGTATCGGACGGCGTGGTGCCACTGTCTTACCCGTCTTTAGGGTTTTCCTCGCCGGAGCCTTACAGCGCTGCGTGGCCTCTGCGGTCGCTTCCTGTCGGTGCGATGACAGCCGTGTGCGCGGAGGGGGACGTTCTTGCCTTCGGTCACTCGTTTCACTGCACTCGGTTTGATGTCTCGGCTCCTGGGAGCTTTAGAGACTCCTGCACGACGGGCGTGGCCGCGGCTGCACAGACGTGTGTCAGTGGAACGTGTATGTGAGAGGCCTCCCGGTGCTGTCGCTCAGGGTTGCCCAGGCGCGATGAACCGCAGAACGGCTGTTAGCGTGGAGGCGGCCGGCCTTTCCCTGACGTGAAGTCTGAGACTGTGGGCTCAGCGGCCCTGCTCCCCGCCGCCCCACCGCCCAGGCCCCTCCTCACCCTGCTCCCCGCCGTCCAGGCCCCTCCTCACCCTGCTCCCCGCCGTCCAGGCCCCTCCTCACCCTGCTCCCCTCCGTCCAGGCCCCTTCTCACCCTGCTCCCCGCCGCCCAGGCCCCTCCTCACCCTGCTCCCCGCCGTCCAGGCCCCTCCTCACCCTGCTCCCCGCCATCCCGCTGTCCAGGCCCCTCCTCACCCTGCTCCCCACCGCCCAGGGCCCTCCTCACCCTGCTCCCCGCCGTCCAGGCCCCTCCTCACCCTGCTCCCCGCCGTCCAGGCCCCTCCTCACCCTGCTCCCCGCCGTCCAGGCCCCTCCTCACCCTGCTCCCCGCCATCCCGCTGTCCAGGCCCCTCCTCACCCTGCTCCCCACCGCCCAGGGCCCTCCTCACCCTGCTCCCCGCCGTCCAGGCCCCTCCTCACCCTGCTCCCCGCCGTCCAGGCCCCTCCTCACCCTGCTCCCCGCCGTCCAGGCCCCTCCTCACCCTGCTCCCCGCCGCCCAGGCCCCTCCTCACCCTGCTCCCCGCCGCCCAGGCCCCTCCTCACCCTGCTCCCCTCCATCCAGGCCCCTCCTCACCCTGCTCCCCTCCGTCCAGGCCCCTCCTCACCCTGCTCCCCGCCATCCCGCTGTCCAGGCCCCTCCTCACCCTGCTCCCCGCCATCCCGCCGTCCAGGCCCCTCCTCACCCTGCTCCCCTCCGCCCAGGCCCCTCCTCACCCTGCTCCCCGCCATCCCGCCGTCCAGGCCCCTCCTCACCCTGCTCCCCGCCGTCCAGGCCCCTCCTCACCCTGAGGACGGCCGTGGGGGCGCTCACCCAGGACTCCTAGTTCCCTCAGCCCGGGGAGAGCCGGTTCCCTCTAGAAACTTCGCGTGCCCGCCTCCGTCTGCTCGGCCAGCGTGTCCGATCGGCTGTTGCTGGCAGTGCTGTGCGAGCAGAGGTGTGCGTCTGAATTCGTGTTTGCATTTCTTTGAGTAAGTCCCCGGAGTGGAACTGCTGGAGGGCATGGCAGCTGTTTTTAGCTTTTTGAACAATCTTCGTACCGTTTTCCCACCGTTTACAGTCTCACCCACCGTTTAGGAGGGCCCTCACCGTGAAGTCCTCACCAGCACGTGTTGATTTATTGGCGATGGCCATTCTGACAAGGACGCGTTGGTCTCTCATCGTGGTTTAATTTGTGCTTTCCCGATTAGTGACACTGAGCGTCTTCTCATACACCTGTTGGCCACTCGTATGTTCTTTTTGTAGAAGGGTCTATTCGGGTCCTCTGCCCTTTGAATCAGATTGTTTGGTTAAGTCGTGAGTTCCTTGTGTATTTTGTATATTAAACCCCCATCAGATGTATCATTGGCGAATACCGTCTCCCGTTCAGTAGGTTATGTTCCTTTTAATGGCTTCCTTCACCGTACAGATCTTTTGTTTGAGGTCCCCTTTGCTTATTTTTCATTTTGTTTCCGTTGTCTGAGGAGACATATTCAAAAATATGCCCTGACTGGTTTGGCTCAATGGATAGAACATCGGCCTTCGGACTGAGGGGTCCCGGGTTCGATTCCCGTCAAGGGCGTGTACGTTGGTTGCGGGCGCGTCCCCGGTAGGGGGTGTGCAGGAGGCAGCTGGTCAATGTTTCTTTCTCATTGATGTTTCTGGCTCTCTGGCCCTCTCCCTTTCTCTCGGTAAAAAATCAACAAAATGTATTTTAAAAAAAAGAAAAAAAGATACTGCTAAGTGATGTCAGAGTTTAACTGCTTATTTTCTTCTACCGTGTTTCCCCGAAAATAAGACCTAGCGCATGGAAAGATAAGACATCCCCTGAAAATAAGACCTAGGGCAACTTTGGGAGAAAAATTAATATGACACTGTCTTATTTTCGGGGAAACAGGCTAGCAGCTTATGGCTCCAGGTCCTATATTGAAGTCTCCAGTCCATTTTCAGTTTAGTTTTGTATATGATGTAAGTGGTCCAATTTCACTGTTTTACATGCATCTGTCCTGTTTTCCCAGCACTGCTTGTTGGAAAGACTATCCCTGCCTTTCTTTCTTTCTTTCTTTCTTTTTTAATATATTTTATTGATTTTTTTACAGAGAGGAAGGGAAAGAGAGTTAGAAACATTGATGAGAGAGAAACATCGATCAGCTGCCTCCTGCACACCCTCCGCTGCAGATGTTCCCGCAACCAAGGTACAGGCCCTTGACCGGAATCAAACCTGGGATCTTTCAGTCCGCAGGCCGACGCTCTATCCACTGAGCCAAACCGGTTTCGGCCCTGCCTCCTTTCTTAAAGGTCAACCGTGTAAGCAAGGCTTCACTCCCCATCCTATCCCATTGATCTGTATATCTGTTTTTATGCCAGTACCATACCATGTTAATAACATACATTTATAGTATAGTTTGATATCACTAAGCGTGGCACTCCTACTTTTTTCTCAAAAAAATTTTTTTGGCTGTTCAGGGTCCTTTGTGGTTCCATATAGATCTGATTGCTGATGGTTTTCCTGGTTTCCTGGGGGCCTACAGAACTGAAACTCCCTTTGGGCTGCTTTTGCTGGGTAGATACAAACTTTGAAAGTTGTGTTTCATTTGTTTAAAGACATTCTATTTCCTCTCGACCCTCACTGGTGGTTTAGGATGTGGTGTTAGTCTCCGCATCTCCGTTTCTTCTCCATTTTCTTCCTGGTGGGTTCCTGGTTCCATGCCACTCTGGTTGCAAAAGGTGCCGGATGTGGTTTCAGTCTTGAATTCACGGGACCTTGTTTGGTGGCCTCGTGTGTGTGCTTTCCGGAGGGTGTTCATGTGCACAGGAGAGGGTGTGTGAAATGCTGACAGGGGCTGGCGGTGGAGCTGGGACCAGGGCTGACCTCAGGGCAGCTGCTGTCGTGGAGCCCATGCTCCCCCATCCCGGAGCCCAGGTGTGACTGATCCATCTCAAGGTGCGAGGATTTCCCTTCAGCACCTTCGGGCCGACTGTGCGAGGACCTATCTCAGCCCCGAGGAGACTCTGCAGGGGGTCAGCGTCTGCTTGGAGCCTCCACCCAGATATTCCTGTTCCCTGGGAATCCGTTCCGCTGGGAAAAGCCCATTTCCGGAGTTCATTTGCGACTGATCGCTCATGGTTTCCCGCCGCTCAGGAGCGCTGACCCTGCGCAGCCACGGCCCTTTCCCCCTGGGCCGAGTTCGCTCCGGAGCAGCTGCGGCTTTTGTGTGTGGGAGGGCCCGGGGGGTGGGGGACGCAGGGGAGTTGCTGGGGTGATCAGAGCTGTCCCTTCCTCCCGAACCCCCTTCTCTGACGAGTGTGGGCTAAGCCCTCCAGAACACTTGCACTGGGAACCTGCACGAACCGCAGGGACACTGCCGACAGGGCTGGTGTGCACTGACCTCGGGCTCCTCTCGTCAGGAGGAAGGAATTCATGCCGGTGGTAGGATGGTTTGCCTTTTTTATTTTTTTTTTAAGGGAAGTGTATTTTCTTTTTTTTTTTTTTTTAATATAGTTTATTGATTTTTTACAGAGAGAAAAGGAGAGGCTGCCTCTTGCACACCAACCCAGGTACATGCCCTTGACCGGCATCGAACCCGGGACCTTTCAGTCCGCAGGCTGACACTCTATCCACTGAGCCAAACCGGTTTCAGCTGGTTTGCCTTTTTTTGAAAATAGCTTTCGGTTGATTTCAGAGCGGGAGAGTCACTGATCTGCTGCCTCCTGCATGCCCCACACTGGGGATCGAGCCTGCAGCCCGGGTATGTGCCCTGACCAGGAATCAAGCCATTTCCTCCTTCGTAGGTCGACACTCAACCACTGAGCCACACTGGTTGGGCTGTTTTGCTTTTATTGAAACAAATCAGACAATTACAAGAATTTACAAAAATTAAGAGCCTGTGAGGACCCCGGTCTAACCATGTGACATTCGTATCACTCCACAAGGGCCCTGGGCCCGGGGGAAGGAGGCCCCGCACACACCGTCTACACGTGCTACACGTTCTCCTGGCCGCCCTGGGAGGCAGCGCTTCTCCAGACGCTTCGGCAGCCGGCAGCGAGCAGGCCTCCCCGCACCGAGGACCTGTGGGCACTGCTCCCGCCGACTCTGGGTGCCGATTACAGGCTGGAGAGGCAAAGGGCAGCACACGCACACACACCTTTAATCCGCGTTCACTAACAGTCAAAAAGCGTTCTCTATTTCCTTGGCGGAGGGATTCTCGCCTTCTGGGTAACATTAGGTGAGACCCCCGTTTCCCTAAAAGGAAATACACGGCCTTCATCTAGAGGGTTTCAGAGGACGGATAAACAGCAGGGGGTTCCATTCTCATCCGCGCACACCTCACTCCGGACCCTCTCAGCAGGGAAACCCGGGGTAAGCGCTGGCCGCGGGGCCCCGGCGGCACCCGGTCAGAGCCCGCCCCTCCCTGGCAGCGGAGTTTGCCGGCCGGCGCCGTGCCCCCTACTGCGCGTCCCGCTGCCTGCAGTAGTTGCTGTAGGCCTCCTCGAACATGTCCTTGCAGGGGATCTGGGCCTTGAGCTTGGAGCAGATGAGGAAGGAGCCGCCCATCTTCCTGTGCAGCGAGTAGGTTTCCTCGGGGGGCGGGATGAGCCGGTGCTTCAGCATGATGGGGATCAGGCTGTGGATCTCCTCCGTGGTCTTCTGGGCGCCGAAGTCGAAGGGCTCGTGGGAGGCGAAGGCCTTCCCCAGCGTGAGGATGGCGTTCACGTGTGCGTCCTCCATGGCCTGCGGGGAGAGGGGGTCAGTCAGCCGCATGTCCTGGGGACCCGGGGGGAGTTGGGTTGAATTTTAACGGAGCTGAGAGCAGCGTTAACGTGTGGCCGGGCTCCCTGGGAGACCACGGGGGTGGCAGGGCCTCAGCCCACGCAGGAGGGTGCCACCCAAAGGCACTCGGGCTCTGTGTGTGCACAGACCCTGGGAGTCTTCAGGCCAAAGGGACAGTCTGAGTGCGAGAGCGGCTGCTGAGATTCCCCCCGGCTCCGCCCAGCCCCTCAGCTCCAGGCGGGGTCTCGGTTTGCCAGAGGAGGAGCGGCGCTTCTGACCAGGCCCCTCAGTGCCCCATCTGGCTGCCCAGGCCCTGCCACGCAGAGCCTCCGGGCGGGGGCGGGCGGGGGCTCTGCAGAGGGCGCTGTCCCCTCTGGTGTCACATTCACAAAGGGAAGTTCGCCTGTGACTGCAAAGGAAAAGCAGTCCACTGCCCCCTCCTCCCGCCCAGCCCCGGGAGGAGCCTGGAGCGGCAGGCGGAGCCGCCGGGCCGCGGCGCACCTTGACCTCGTAGCCGGTGAGGAACTTCATCTCGATGGACTTCTTCAGCACGGCCTCCCGGTCCTGGTCGGCGGCGGCCCTGATGACCTGGGCGCACAGAGGAGCTGCTGGGCCGGAGCGACCCCTGCCCGCCCCCAAACGCTGCCAAGGGCTCCCTGTTCCTCCCGGACCAGCCGCCCTCCCCGTCCCCGCCCCCAGCCCGCCCCCACCTGGATGTAGAGGTCGGTGAAGGACTTGTCGTACTCCCGAGTTGCCCCGAAGTCCAGGAGAGCCACCTGGGCAGGGCGACAGCAGGGCAGGTTTGCAGCTGGGTGCTGAGCCCCCGACCACGGAGCCCGCTCCAGCAGCGGCCTCCACGCCCCCCCCCCCCCTCACCTTGTGCTGCTCGGGGTCGTAGAAGAAGTTGGACCAGTTGGGGTCAGTCTGCATGAAGTGGAACTCAAACAGCTCCCTTAGGCACAGGACCAGAATGTTGTGGCAGATCTGGGGGGGGGGGGGGGGGGGGGTAGCCTGGTGACCCGAGGGTCGAGGGCTGGGGAACCTCTGCCCAGGTGACACTTGGTTCCCAGGGCGCTGCCTGGGGCGAGGGGAGGACCCGGGGCTGCCGGCCGCTGCAGACGCACCTCGTTCCGGATCTCCTGGCTCAGCCCCTCGGCCTGGTCCAGGGGGAAGCCAGACACGAGCTCGGTGGTCAGCACGTGGGGGCTGCACAGCTCGTCCACGACCTCGGGCACGTAGAAGAAGGGGTGGTCCTTCAGCAGCTCCCTGTGGGGTGCGGAGTCACACGGGGCCCAGGTCCCCACCCACCGGGGGAGACAGGACACCGGGGACTGGCCACCAGTGGAGGGCCCTGCCCTCAGCAGGCCAGACCCCTTCCCTCCCCGGGGGCCCCGGGAGAGCGGCCGGCGCGGCCCGGCCCCGAGCGGCACCTGAACTTCTTGGCGCAGGCAGCCTCTCGCTTGTAGTCGCACTCGAGGGCCAGCTCCCGCCTCAGCACGTCGATCAGGTGCTCGGGGAACAGGCCTGGCGGGCGGGAGGGTGTCGGGGTGAGCGGGGGGCTCCCCTAGGGGGCCCCGCGGTGCCCAGAGCCCACCCGGGTCCCGCCGGCGGCCCGCAGCGAGCACACCTTCGGGGAGCACGTTGCTCATGTTCAGCACGGCCATGAGGTTGTTGACGTCGCTGTTGATGCTCTGGGCCACGCCCGGGTACTGCGGGGGCAGAGGTCCCGTGAGCAGAGCGGACCCCACACCTTGGGAGTCACCGCTGTCTTCCTCCCCCTCCCACCCGTCCCCGAGCACAGCCCCCACCACGCAGGCCCTCGCCCAGGCCAAGCTCCCTGGGGCTGTCCCGCCCCCACAGCCACTCCCTGGGCCAGTCCGGCTCAGCGCCTGCTGCGGACCAGGTGCTGGGCCAGGAACGGCGACACAGACCCACCCGGGGGCCCCTCGGCCTGGCTCCCCGCAGCCCCACAGGGACGACCCACCTGGATCTTCATGGCCACCTCCCGCCCGTCCTTCATCCGGGCCAGGTGCACCTGCCCGATGGAGGCGGCCGCGAAGGGCCGCTCCTCAAAGTACTCCAGCTTGTCCCGCCAGTTGGGGCCCAGGTCGCTGTTGAGAGTTTTCTGCGGGAGAGGCCGGAGGCCCGTCAGCCCAGCCCTCCCGCGGCCCGGCCGAGGCTCTGGGCGGGGAGGCCGGAGCCGCCCGCCCCCCCCTGCCCGCCAGCCTCACCGTCATCTGCTTCAGGGGCATGAAGTCCGCGCTCTGCCTCACGCGCTCGAAGATCTTGGCCAGGTGGGGGTTGATGAAGGCGTCGTCTGTCAGGCGTCAGGGAAGCAGGTGGCAGAGGGCTGAGCCCGGGGGAGCGAGGCCGGGGACAGACCCTGCCCGGGGGCTCCTGGGAGATGCTGCTCTGCCCGCCCACAGCCCGGGTGCAGACACAAGGCCCAGGCTCCGAAGGCCTGCCTGCGTGTGCCTGCCCCCTGGCCATCCCACGAGCCCACTAACTGCCGCTGAGGACTCGCCCTCACTGCTCCCACCCACAGAGCCAGCCTCGGAGCCCCAGCCTCTGCTCGCGAGGCCCCCGGAGCCAGGCTCACCCCAGCCGCCTTCCCTCCGGGGCCACATGCTCCTTCCCTCCCATACCAACGGGCAGGACTGTGCCCTCCTCTCCGCTCCCTCCAACCGAGACACGTTTCAGCATCCCTGCTGGCAGCAGCCAGGACCCAGCAAGAGGAGCCGGAAGGCCCCCCATCCTCCCCCAACCCCCCCCCCCTGTGGGGCTGAAGGCGGCTGCCCGGGTCCGAGCACCCGCAGGCCACTCACCCTGGATGCTCAGCATCTGGCCCAGCTTGAGCGCCGCCCCGCGCACCTTGCACAGCGTGCTCACGATGCGCTCCGCGTTGGCCTCCGACAGGAAGGGGCTGGAGTCCAGCACGGCCTTCTTCCCCCCTGTGGGCGGAAGCCAGGTCACCTCGGGCACGAGGAAGAGGCTGGCAGGGCTCGCAAGGGGGCCGTCGGCAGGTGCAGGGCCTGAGCCCCTCACCCCCACCCCCGGCCCCTCTGAGGAGACCCTCCCTCTCTCGTGGGCCTCGGGGCCTGAGTGCACCCAGCCCACGGCTGCCGCGGGCCGCTGGTCACCCCTCCCCTGGGAAACGCAGCGGCAATGACGTCAGGGTGTGGGGTTTCTAAGTGAGACACGGAGCCCGCACGGAGCCTGGCCAGCCTTCCTCCTGGATCCCCTAAGAACCAAAGAGCAGTCGCTGTCCCACCCCCACCTCCCAACACTGCTGAGGCCTCGGGAGCACGCAGCACCCCCCCCCCCAGTGCCCGCACGCACACGCACGCACACGCACACGCACGCCTGGGGCCTGGAGAGGGCATGCTGAAGGGCAGTCAGCTGGCACGAGGGATGGGCACAGGGCGTGAGGGACCTAGTGCAGTGCCAGGCGAGGACAGAGGTCGCCCAGCACACCCACCACGGGGCCAGCTGGCTGCAGTGAGAGCCCTCCTCTGGGAGGGGAGCTCAGGGTCAAGGACAGCACTGGCCGCTGCGCCTGCCGCTCCCTCGCTCCCCTCGCTCCCTCGGCCAGAGGCCTCGCAGCTCCCTGCAGCCAGCTGGCCCCGGGGCCGGTGCAGTGACCTCAGGGGGCCGATGACCTGTGACCAGGACATGGGGTGGGAGGCTGCGTGGTGATGACTCCAGGGGTCAGGACCCTCTGCCCAGCGCCCCACCTCCACCTCAGCGGCCCTACTAAGTATGATTCTGCCCTGTCCTAGGTGGGAGAGGCGTGCCGGCGCCCCCTGCCCTCCCCCAGCTCCTCAGCACCCTCTTCCCTTCCTGCAGCTGGTGGCACTCGCTGCTTTCCCGCCTGCTGGCCTGGGAGCCCAGGACGGAGCTAGGTCCCCAGAGGAAACCTGTCCCAGGAACGTGTCCAGCCCAGCCTCTGACAGAGTGGGGTGCACAGGGTGGGGTGCAGTTTGCAGAAGAGAAGCCCCAAAGAGAGCCAGCTTCTCAGGGCAGCTGGCAGCTCACTCAGGAGTCAGGCTGGGTCCTACACAGCAGGGGGTCCCAGGAGGGTGAGCGATGTCAGCTCCCAGGGAGACCCCGAGCTGCTGGGGATCAGGGGGGCAGCCTGTGGGCAGGCTCCAGAATGGCTGGACCAGGAAGGATCCCCGGATCACACCCCGGCTACGTCGCCAGCGGGGACATGGCTGGTTCTGAGGATGAGGAGCCGGCGGCAGAGCGGAGTGGGCCTGTCCTCAGGAGAGCGCCCTCCAGGGCAGGCGGAGCCGGGCCTGGCTGCTCGCGGCACCGCAGAGCCTGTCCTCAGAGCTGGGGCAGAGCTTGGGCCCGCCCTGCCTGGCCTGAGCCCAGGTCCTCTGGCTCCTGGGCCATCAAGGTCCACTCCAGCCAAGGTCACTGCTCCCTGACCAAGGACACGGGCTTATGCCTGGAGCCAGTCCTTGCCTATCCTGCCTGGACCTGTGGGAGCGGCCGGCTCTCGGGAAGGCTGGCTTCTCCCCAGAAAGCCAGGCTCGTTCCCACAGTGTGTCGCACCAGCACTAAAAATACCCCCGCTAAGCCCGTCCCCTGCCCTGCCCGGACAGGTGTGTCCCCGCACCCGGGCCTGTGGGGACAGCAGTGCTTTTTCCCCAGAGGTTCCCTGACCACAGCGGCCCTGGAGTGAAGAGGGGCCGCTGCTGCGACTGGCAGCCAGGGAGCAGGCACAGGCAGTGGGTGTCCCTGAGGGCCCTCGTGAAGGGACAGGAGGCGCCAGAAACGGAAAGAGCCGACATCTCCTGGAGAGACGAGTGTTCCGACCTGACCCCTGGCTGACCCCAGGAGACAGGACAGAGGGTCATGACCTCTGCCTCAGAGATGGAGGACCCTGTGGGACCCGTCCCAGCAGCGCCCACATCCCTCAGCCGCGTGGAGCCCTGGGCGCCTGACAGCCAGGCCACAGGCCCCGCCGCTCCGGGGAGCAGGGCGGGGCGGGGCCAACCCCAGCGCCACTGAGGGAGCGGGAAGGGGGTGAGCAGGGCAGGCAGCACTGGAGCGCCGCCCGCGGCCACAGGGATTGTGACCCCAGAACCCAGGTGGGCCCAGGGCAGCTCACCTGAGGAGTCCTCCGAGCGGAGGGTCTTCTTGGCGACTTCAGCCAGAGCCCCGAAGCCCAGACCCACGGCCAGACCTGGAGGGAGGAGGGAGGCCGCTGGACATTCGCCGGGAGCGGCCTGTGCCTGCTGGCCTCCACCCACAATGCCCTTCCCCCTGCCCCACCCCATACACACACACACACACACACACACACCCCTCAGCTTCCCAAGGACCCTCAAAGACACTCCAGAACATTTTCTTTAATCCTCACTGGAGGACATGCTGAAAGGGATGGAGGGAGGGAGGGAGGGAAACAGAAGGAGAGGGGAGAAGGAGAGGGAAAAAGAGAAGATGGGGGGCATCGAAATGAGAGCAACATCCATCGGTTGCTCTCCATACGCACCCCAACTGGGGCTCACACCCACAGCCCAGTATGTGCCCTGACCGGGAACTGACCCGGCAGCTCTGCGGTGACAGGACGACACTCACAGACAGACACGTAGGGACACACTCTCTGCTGTTCTCAGAGAAGATCTGGCAGGTGCATTTGGGGAAGAGCTTCATCTGTCCCACCCCCATCACCTTTGCTCATGTGCAGGCTCATGGGACACACACACACACCCCAAGACAACACAGCACCGAGAACACAGGCTGGAGGACCCCGACACGGGAAGAGGGACCGGGACCGGGCACCCCCTCGGAACGCAGCCACCCGCTGCGCAGCCTGGGAGAGCAGCCCCGTCTTCAGAGCCCTAACTTCCTCCCCAGAGGGAGGGACTCACGACAGGGACATAAGCAAAAGGTTAGGGTCCCCAATCCAAACAGACTCCCAGGAATTCAGGCTGCAGCCCTCACGCAGGCACTGACAGTGGTGGCAGCCCTCCCTCTCTGTTTGCAATCCAAATCTAAGTTCATCAGGGCCTCGGGCCGGCTGGAGGCAGGGAGTGGCGGAGCCCCTGGCCTCTCTAACAGGTCTAGCTGAGGGGTGGGCGGGGCAGGGGGCACACATTAGCAGGGAGAGCTGAAGAGCAGGTGGCTGAGCACTGACTGCAGAGACGCAGGGAAGACACTAGAGGCCCTCAGCGGGGGCCAGGGCCAGGGCCAGAGAGCAGCAGCCCAGGCCCGAGGGGACGAGACAGACTCACACTGGGTGCTCCGATTAACGTCTCCCAATTTTACAAAACACAGAAGTTGGGGCCTCCTAGTCTCTGTGGAGCTCAAACAACGGAACAGGCAGAGCCCGCTGGCAGGGCTGGCGCAGTCTGCACCCAAGTGCTTGCGGTGGTTCTTCCTCCTGTTCACAGTGGCCAGGCCGGGCCTGTCCAAAGACAGACAGTGCCAGCCACACGTGCGGTGTTCCCAACAGCAAAAAGCACGCAAAATGAATGCGACATGGATTTTAGCCAGCTTATCCAGACTGTTACCATTTCAACAAGGACTCAATATAAAAATTACTAGCCCCCTCGCCGGTGTGGCTCTGTGGACAGAGCGTCGACCTGCAGACTGAAGGGTCCAGGATCGATCCCGTCAAGGGCGCATGCCGAGGTTGTGGGCTCGAAACTCAGCAGGGGACCTGCAGGAGGCGGCCGATCCATGACTCCCTCTCACCACTGGTTTCTCTCTCCCCCTCTCCCTTCCCCTCTGACATCAATAAAAGAATCTGTTTAATTATTAGACATATTGTACATTTTGTACTAACTCTTCCACATCCAGTGTGTATTCTGCCTGAGCATGTCTCGGCTGGGGCAGCCACGTTTCCAGTGCAGGCGCCGTGTGGCTGGGGCGGCAGCACGGGCAGCAGCGGGCAACCCCAGAAAGAAGGCACAGGCAGCTGGCGACCCCGGGCCCACCACGGACGCCTTGGTGTGCTGGCACGCAGGTGCCAGGGCCTGTTTCCCTCTGTGGTCACTGGCACAGCGCTGGGAGCCTCGTCTCCAATTAATCATTGACTCTCCTGCCCACCCATCACACTATCCGACTTAGGAAAACAAAGATGTTAACCTTCAAACTCGAGCAAGTGTCACCAATGTCTGCATCTAGATTTCTCTCTGCTGATCAAGTCCAAAGACAAAAGAGGCAGATGGCGTCCGAGGCTGTCCAGCCTGGCCCTTGGGAACAGACACACAGGGTGTGTGTGTCTCTTTGTGTGTGTGTGTGTGTGTGTGTGTGTGTGTGTGTGTGTGTCTCTTTGTGTCTGTGTGTCTATTTGTGTGTGTGTGTGTGTGTGTGTCTCTTTGTGTCTGTGTGTCTATTTGTGTGTGTATAGGGGTGTGTATCTCTTTGTGTGTGTCTGTGAATGTCTGTGTCTCTGTCTATATGTCTGTGTATGTCTCTGTGTGTCTCTGTGTCTCTGTGCACGTGTGTGTCTGTGAATCTGTGTGTGTGTGTATCTCTGTGTCTGTGTGTGTGTGTGTGTCTCCCTCCAGCATGGGGAGGTGGGTGATGAGCCCCGCTTCCTGCAGGCAGAGGCACCCCAGCTCCTGCTGGGCCCCCTAAGATGCTTGGTCACAGTTCTCTGGCGTCTCCAGGCTGCAGATCAGAGCCCAGACTCTGCAAGGCCAAGGGCCTGTCCTTCAATCACTGAACAGAGACAGTGGACACGGTGCCTCAGCTCCTCCTGTGGCCCACAAGCTCCTCAGGACCAGCCAGGGCCAGGCCCCGAGGCAGCCCTGACTGAGAAACACCTGCTCCCACCAAGCTCAGAGGCTCCCAGAACTCTGCTGAGGGAAGGCCAGAACCCAGCCGACTCTTCCTCCTCTGACGGGCGTGCCTCGCCTCGATTCTCCAGGTCCTGGTGCGGACCCAGAGCTCATGCTCACTGACACCTGCGCCCTCGGCCCCCTCAGCACCCAAGCCCTCACGGCACGCCTCTCCACGTTCTCCCTCACACCGGCCCAGCCTGCTGCAGTCCTGGGGAACAGCGTGGAGCCTGCTGAGGCCCGGCCTGGCCTCCGTCCTGGCCTGTGAGAAGGCGCCGGCACCTTCTAAGAATGTTCCTGACGTTCCCCATCTCCCTCACAGACGGAAGTTTACAAACAGGAGAGATGGGGGGGGGGGGCTTTCCCCCAGTCGGCGCCCATGGGCCAGCTCCCCACTGGGACCCACTCCTGCCATCGGGGAGCCCAGGCCCAGCCCGGCCCTGCCGCCCGGCGGTCCCTCTGAGGTCCTCAGAGCCCGTGGCCTTCCCGGAGCAGCCACCGGGCTGGTGCCCAGACAGGCTCCGGGCCAGGAAAGGAGAAATAGCGCCTTCTAGCAGCAGCGCGGCGGTGGGGCGGCCTGGGAAGGTGCCGCGGGCAGGAGGAAGTGAGGGAATGTTCTCTCGGGCCAGCACGTCCGGTAGCCGACAGGTGCGGGCGGTTCCATGTGGCAGCAGGGGCGCGTGACAGCTACGTCACCCGGCACTCACACGGCACGCACACGGCACTCACCCGGCACTCACACGGCACTCACACGGCACTCACACGGCACTCACCCGGCACTCACACGGCACTCACACGGCACGCACACGGCACTCACCCGGCACGCACACGGCACTCACCCGGCACTCACCCGGCACTCACACGGCACTCACACGACACTCACACGGCACTCACACGGCGGGCCTGACGGCGAGGCCCTGTCGGTGTGAGCTCATCTATCAATCCTGAGCTGACAAGAAGGCCCACAAAGAACAGGCTGGGCGAGGACCTGGTCCTCTGCTTCCGGGTTCCCAAGGCTCAGGAATGCAGTCCCCTCTGCGTCCCTGTGTCCGCCTGCCGGACACAGATACAGGCAGCCGGTCAGGCTGAGTCTGTGAGAGGGGTCCTGGGCGAGGGGGCGCGGCTCAGCATGTCACCTGTGACTGACCTCCCTCCGTCCTCAGAGGGAAAGGACACTGAACCCCTAAGCCAGGCCTGCCCAGGGCATAGGACGTCTCGTCCCACAGCAGCTGCTCAGCGGGCGGGAGAGCCCGGGGGCTGGGGGACAGGCTGCACGCACGTGCCCTCAGGAATCGGGAAGGAAACTGGCATCAGGAAGTGCCACCCAGGAGGGGCCAGTCAGGTGGGCCTTGGACACCGCCCTGTCAACCCAGGGCCCGGCCTCCACAGCCACCAAGATCAGGTGCCCCATCGGTCAGTACTGGGCAGGGAAGCCTGACCTTAGCCCAGTCAACAAAGGGCAGCGTGCCAGGAGGTCAGACCACAGAGTGCTGCTGCGGAGGCATCAACACCCCTCCCGCCCTGCCCCTGCCCACTGCAGGCTGACCTGCAAGGCCTGGGGCTCCCGCAGTGTCTACACGAGAGGGTGGGGGTGAATTCAGCACAAAACCCAGTGACTCCATTTACTATCCTCTATCTTGGAATCGTGGCCTTTGACTTTTAAGAAGATCAATAAGCTGGGTGGGATGGGGGCAGGGAGGGCCAGGGCCAGCCACCAGGGCTGCCCAGGCAGCACTGTTCCCTCCCCCCTCGGTCGCCTTTATAAGCTTACGGGGGGAAGGGAGAGGGTGGCATCGTACACCAGCTTTACGCCCTCGGGCGCCAGCACACTTGCCCCACGTCACCTGTGCCAGGACAGACCCTAACCCAGGGCCCTGCGCCGGATCGGACATCAGCCTCCGCTGACCACAGCCAGTCCACACCTCCCACCCACGTGGACTGCACCTCCGGGCTCCAGGGAGAGCAGGGCTTGGAGCGATCAGGATTCACCATCCTGGTGCCGGCCACTGACACCTGCCTCACCACCTCCTCAGGGCCAGAGAGAGACCCCAAGTGCTGGAGAGACCAAGCTCACCAAATCCTGAAAAATGCCCTGAGCCTTCAGAATCTCAACACCAACGTGGCTAAGAATACCATCATGTTCCTGGGAGACGGGATGGGCGATCACCCACATCCTCCAGGGCCAGCCGCCCTAAAACCCTGAGGAGACCAGGCTGGAGGGGGACAAGTTCCCGCACATGGCTCTCTCCAAGACACACAACACCAACGCTCAGGTCGCCAACAGCACAGGCACTGCCACTGCCCACTAGTGTGGGTGAAGCCAATGAAGGCCAATGGGTGAAGGCAGTCAGGGTGGGCGCAACCCAGAGCTCCCTCTGCAACACCACTCAGGGGAACGAGGTCACCTCTATCCCTGCGGGGAGCAGGCCTAAGCTGTCAGTCAGACATCCCCTGAGGGCTCCCGGACTGCACGAGGGTGCAGGCTGGACTGAGTACACAGATTTCCTGCACTCGGCCTCTAGTTCTTTAATAAGAAATAAAAAGCCCTGGCTAAGTAGTTCAGTTAGTTAGAGCGCCATCCTGATACACCAAATTTGTGGGTTGGATCTCAGTCAGGACACACATAAGAATCAACCAATCTATATGTATAAAAGGCTAATATGCTAAGTGTCCATCTGGGTAATGATGCCACGTAGCAATGCCCAGCTTCCTCTTCCTAGTGACAACTAGCCTCCTTGAAGTTTCTTCAGCCCAGGAACCCAGCTTGCTTTATAGCCAGCTGGAAACACTTTACACTATAGCCAAATGTCTGTGAAGCATTTTCCCTGCCCCATCTCATTTAATCCTCACAGAAGTCCTGGAGTAGGTAGATAGGAGACTCAGTGGAATCCTATTTTTGTTTCATTAGCAGAAAACGGAGATTTGAAAGCTTAGAAATTTGACCTGACTGAAAAAAAGTAAGAAATGGTGGGCCTTGAAAATGACTAGGTTTTCTCACTGCACAGAATATAGTCAAACAGTGCTGCAGTTACATATTTTACCCTTTGTTCTGCCTGTGAGATCTACAATGATAATCTGCTTCATGTTGATATTTACTGCTGTGTTGCTGACAATTACCTGGAAGAGAAGTTGGGGTGCTTCACTGGGCTGGAACAAGCTTAGCTACATCAGAAAGCAGGTCTAATTAAGCAAGTTTGTTCTATATCTATAAAAGGCTAAGTAGACTTGCACATGCATGATACATATAACGCTCTCACTGGCACCAATGGCATGTGTGTGTCTCCATCTGTCATTGTCAATCGTGAATTTGGTTGACACTTCTATTACAGAGAAAGGGCGAACAGCGATATTAAAGTAATATTAATTAATTCTTCTAATTAATCTCCTTTCACTGGGAAAAACAAACCCATGGTTCTCCCTCTCTCTCTTTCTGATATAAATTTAAAAAGAAAGTCATGTTACACAGGTAACAGCCACTGTGCAAAGCAAGGAATGAACTATGCCAAGTCTTCTAGGGAGCAGGGACCACTGGAGACCACCAAAGCAGTGATTCTCAAACTCATTCTGGTGGTGGAACCCCAGGAACTTACAATATTCAGTGTAACCCACTCTTCTCTTCTGTTGATACTGTTCAATATTAAAATTGTTTTTGCAGAAGAAGAATTGTTAACTAATACGTAACCGATGGAAAAGCAGCATATTTGTGTAGGAGTTCAGAGACTAGCTCCAGAAATCACACATTCTGGCTCTAGGACACTTACTCTCAACCATAAAAATCAAACCTTGCCCTGGCCAGTTTGGCTCAGTAAGCAGAGTGTCAGCTTGCAGACCAAAGGGTCCTGGGTTCAAATCCAGTCAAGGGCACGTATCTCAGTTGTAGGCTCCTCCCCAGCCCGGGCCTTGATCAGGGCTTGCACGGGAGACAACCAATCTATGTGCTTCTCTCACATCAATATTTCTCTGTGTTTTTCCCTCTCACTTCCACTTTCCTTAAAAATCAATGGAAAAATATCCTCGAGTGAAGATTAAGAATAAATAAATAAGTCCTATACAATAAAAGCCTAATATGCAAACTGTCCCCTTGGGTAGTTGCTCGACCAGGAGTTCCACCGCTCGCTATGACATGCGCTGACCACCAGGGAGGCAGCATAGCACATGGCAGGTGTTGGCAACGTGGTGCTGGCAGTGGGCAGCAGTGAAGGCGCTGTCAGCTTCAATGGGCCCCTACAACAGTGGTACAGCGGCAGGAGGCAGAGCAGGTGAGCGGGCAGCGCTAGGCCAAGGCAGGTGAGAGCGGGGGTCCGATCGCCCTTCATACAGTGACCAGCGGTGGTAGGGGAGGGGGGGGGGCCTGCCACCGGGTTCCCAGACACTGAGGAGCCAGGCAGGGGGGCCCAGCCCCGACTGACCACCCCACAGGCAGGATGGTGGAGCAGGTGAGGGAGCGGACCCAAGCCACATTGGGATGTCAGGTGGGGCTGTGGGGCTGCAAGCCAGGGCCCAATCCCAACAGGCCACCCTGAGGGACCCCACCCGCATGAATTCATGCACTGGGCCTCTACTAAATGAATGAATAAGTAAATACATAAATAAATAAATAAATACCTGGCCTCTGCTCAACCAGTTTCAAGATAATCACTAGACTGGACTGCGCTGACTTACCTGAGGAGAACTTTCAATGCCCCGATCCTTTCTTTCCCCCTCTCCCTCCTAATAAGAACCGCGCCTACACTGAGATGTTAAGATGGCCTTTGGGACGGGAGTCACTGTCTCCTCAGGCTGCTGGCACTTGAATAGACCCTCTCTCCTTACACCAGCCCCTGTCTCGAGTACTGGCTTTCAAAGTGGCAGGCAGCCACACCTGAGCTTGGTATCACTATGAAGAACTGACTGAAATGCTAACTCATTAAAGTAAAACAAGGCAATAGCTTTGTGCTAAAATTCAGATGACACTTTATATTACACTGTAGCAACAGATGTGAAATTTTAAGTTAGCAATGTACAAGAACCTTAAGGTTAAGAAAATTCTATCTGATTAACTCAGTCTGCTCTGCACATTAAGACAGTCACCCCTCTGGATTGGTGCCCAGACTCCTCCCGGAAATAATTAAATATATATGAAGCCCCATGCACAAATTCATGCACCAGTGGCATCCCTTGGCCTGGTCTGTAGGATCACGCCGAAACAGGTTCTCCATCATCCCCTGAGGGGTGTCCTGGATTGCAAGAGGGTGCAGGCCAGGCCAAGGGACCCCACCAGTGCACAATCGGGGCCAGGGAGGGACTGTGGGAGGACTTTCAGGGCATGTCTGGCTCATATCATTCAGTCCCTATCAGCCAGACCCCAGCAGCAAGCTAATCTACCGTCAGTGTGTGGTCAGTGCACATCATAGCAAGCGGTTGAGCAGCTTTAGTATATCATTAGCATATTACACTTTGGTTAAATGGCCAACCGGACCACCAGACACTTAGCATATTAGGCTTTTATTATATAGGATTTTTTTTTTAAAGATAGCCAGCCATCAATATTAGGTCTCACTCCTGGGTCTAGCTCATAGAGCACAGAGCCAATCCTAGCAATGAGTAGGATGTGGCTTCTGAAAGAGAAGAGGCAACAGAGAACAGTAGTATGTACCTGGGAGGAAAGACATAGAATCCAGCAAAGCAAAGTAAAAAGCAGGGAGCCACCCACTGGTGAGCATGCATGGCCACTCAGACTGCAGCAACGTGGACATGCAGACCTGTCACACACCGCCTTGCAAACAACGACTCGCCCACGGCTCGTGTGTGAATTGAGTTCATTAACTTCACTTTCGGAGAACCTTCGAGGACAACCAAGCTTCAGAGGAAGGGGGCTCTGTCTAAAAGTCACCATTACAAAGGAGATGGTGTTTTCAACAGGGACGTCTTAGTCAGGAATTAAGCAACAGATGTGACAAGACAAAGTCAGAAAGGCAGATACAACTGCCGTAAACCTTCACTATAAAATGATCCTTCAATGCTAATAAAAGGGCACAGGTGTGCTGGGCACGACGGCGAGGACAGATAGAGCCCACAGCCCTACAGCACCTTAAAATGGACTTTAAACGACAGCAGCTCAGGCCTCGGCACCTCATTGTCATTACTGCTGCCCACAAGCTTGTGGGAATCCGGCAAACGGGTCTCCCAATGGCTGGTTTCCGGAGCAAAACCCACTGTCTAGTCAGCCAAACAGGCCCAGCGGGGAACTCCCACTCACTATCGCCTCCTTCCTGCAGAGGCATCCACAGGGGCTGAATGGCGGGAAGGCTGAGGTAGTAGAAAAGGCCGATGCTGCAGACATGGACCCCCAGCGTGGCCTGAGAAGCAAAGCTGCAGCTCCCCGTGTGCCCTCAGCCACACCAACCCTTCTGGTGAGCTTAGAGGATTCCAGTAACTGCATCGTCCACCGTGGGAACATCCTGTTCTCCATTCCCAGGATACCTGTGGGCCTGCCCTCTTCCACCTCCATGCTGGGCCCAGGGCAGCCACAGCCCCACGCAGCCAGGACTGGCACTCGAGGGCAGGTGAGGGGCACAGAGACACACAGCCACCTTACCTCCAAAGTTGGCCAGCCGCCCAATCCTTGTAACTGGCACCTTCCGCTCCCGAGCCCGCTCACTGAGCTGGAGGGACAAAAGAGAGAGGCCTCAGGGAAGAGCGAATGGGGACAGGGCCAGCCTTCGGGGGCTCATGCTGCCTCCCACCCCCTCCCCACCACCAAAGGCAGCAGTTCTGCCTGGCAGCCCCCACCACCACCACCACCACCACCAGAGACTTCCATGCTCCCAAACCCTCCAGACCACAGCCTCCTGAGGGGAACCACCCAGAGCCCCACTCCAGGGCCCTCCCAGACGCACCATCTGCTTGTGGGGCTTGTTCTCGGGGCGCGCCTTGGCCTGCCGGGCCTTCTCTATGTCCTCGGCCGTGAGGCCGCCCACAGGGGACTGGTCCTGGTGGAAGAACCTTCGCTGCAGGCCAGCGGGGGAGAAGGGAGCTCCGCTCTCTACGAAAAGCCTCCCGTTGCCCCTGCCCAGAGGAGAGGCAGTCTGCCCTGCGAGCCCAGCTTCCCTGAAGGGTCCACTGTCAGCATAGGCAGGGGCGGGGCCCCTGCTGCTGGCGTGCTCCTGGGGCGCAGACGAAGACTCCTGAGAGGCGGCTGCAGAGAAGTCTGTCGGCCCTGAGAAGTGGAACTCTGATTCTGGGTCATCAAAGCTCTCCGACATGTAAGATTCTTCGTGTTTGTCCTGCTCCTGCGGGAACAAAAGCCAGCGTGAGAGGAGCAAGAGGCAGCCCACCCCGTGTCCATCCCGCTCTGCACAAGACAGCTCATCCCCGCGTCCGGCCCCCGGGCCTCCAGGGGTAACACATTCCTCCCGGGCCTGTGTCAGTTCTGGAGGTGAGCACCTTCCTGGCCCAGGAGCAGGACCCAGATTCCAGTCCCGCTTCTGCCAGGGCTCTGCCGTGTGGTCACTGAGAACCGCTGGCTGTCCAGCCAGACCCAGGCCCGTTACCACCACTCCCAGCAAGTCCCTCCTCTATTAATCAGGGCTAAGACAGGCCTCCAGGGTGCTGGGTGGGTAAACCAGGGAAAGAGACAGGAGACCTTTGAGAAGTCAAAGCACAACCACAGACCAGCAAGGCCAAAGGCAGTGCACAGATGGGGACACGCCAGCCAGAGCCTCGCCACAGACTCGGCTCCGCTCACCAGCCCCGGCGTGCCTGAAGAGGCTCTCACTAGACCACCTGGCACCCCAGGTTTGGCCTGGCTGTCCTTGGGAGTTGGGGGCACATATTTTCCTTGTAACAAGTGAAAAGACCTGATCGTCAGGCCCAGATTCCTTCTACGTTAGAACTCAGGGTGACCTTGTGTAAGTTCTCTGCTACTTCCTCATCTGAAAATAGGACTCCCAGTCACAGTTTTGGGGGGGGCCACAGACCGGCCAGGGGAACAGGGCCAAGGAGGCTGGAACTGGAACAGCACTGACTGCTGAAGGGAGGTCAGGAGCCTGATTCCCTGTCCCACTGAAATGGACTCGGTGCACACAGCGCTGCCTGCGGCTCTGCAGACACGGGAGCAGGTCCACAGCCTCCGCACGCTCAGCTCTACAAGCTACGCCTCCAGGAAGGAAGGAGGTGGCTGTGGCTCTCACGGCCAAATGGGAACCTCAGGCTGAGGGAGCTGAGGTGATCGGGTAAAGGCCCACCAGCCGGCCAGTGGCAGATCAAGGTCCCAGGCCAAGGTCTGTCCTGCTGGCAACCACTAGCACTTTCCTCAGAGCAGAAGTAAACTGTATTGGATTCTCCAGGCACCTCTCAAGATGGCCAGGAAGCCCTGGGTGAGGGGCCTGGGCAGGTCCCTGAGAGCCCCTGTGCCCGACTCCCATGGGCCGCCTGGCCCTGCATTGCCGTGGCCCGTTTGTGGCTCTGGGCCTCTGGGCAGTGAAGGGGCCTCCGTGTCTTGATGGGACCAGACTTGGCGTCTGTGGAATGAGGACGTGAACGAGGGAGGCTCCTGGAGTATCTGGCCCTCCGTCACCTCAGAGAGGTGGCCGAACCAGGGGCTCTGGGGCTCTTCTCAGCTCTGTGGAGCTTCCCTTAACTGAGACCTGAGCCACCCAGCAGCCTCTCCCAGGGACCCTATCCACCCGGAAGGGTAGTGGGTTACACAAACCAGTGGGCTCTCTGGCCCTGGCCACCAGTTCCCTCGCTGTGTCCTCGTCTCACCAAGAGCTCCAAGTCCACCTTCCCTCCTACCGGCACCCTCCCGGACCAGCCTCCTTACCTTCACCGTCCCCAAGAACATGCTGATCTGCTCTGCAGCCGTGGACTGCAGGGCCCGGGCCGCCATGATGAACTCCGCTCCCAGGCCGAAGTGCTGCAGGTGGGTCTCCACAGCCGCCTCCGTCAGCTTGGCAAGGCCTTTGAGCACCATGATCGCATCCCCCATGACGGAAGCCATCCTTCAGGGCTGGAAGAGAGCAGGCCTTGTCAGGCGGGGGCACCACACCTCCTACAGGCCACACGCACAGTGATCGACTCCCTGTGATCCTGGGCAGAAGGGAACTGGTTTGCACTGACCTCCCTTTCGATCCTGGCTGAGAGAAAAGAGCAAGGAAGGGCCCGGGGCTCAAGGTCGGCTCTGGGCCACTCCCTGCACTGCAAGCACCAAGCAGAACGCAAGGCTCCCGAGGGGCCAGGCTGAGCCCCAGGCAATTCCTCAGGAGGCCTCACAGCCACCTAAAGTCTCTCCGACACCAAGTGGCCGGACCAGGACTTGAACCTGGTATACGGACTTAGTCCGAGGCTCTTTCCTCTGGACCACACTGTAGGCTGGGGAGGGAGCGCCTGTTCCCGAAGCAGCTCCCAAACCGAGCTGCCGTCCCTGCCCAGCTGTGCGCACTCTGCCAGGGAAGCCTCTGACAGACACCACAGACCGCAGGGCAGCCAGAGCCCAGCCTCCTTCCTCAGACTCTGATCTAACTACTGACCAGCCAATGCTTTCAGACCACAGTCCAGACCACAGGGCAATCCATTTGGAAAACCCAAACCAGCATGAAAACGCAAGGACATGACGTGAACAGAAAAGAAGGCGTCAGAGGTCCTGTGGGAAGGACTCTTACGAAACCGGTTTCCCTTGCGTGTACACGGAGCTGCTCTGTCCTTTTCTCCCTCCAAGTCCGTCTAAAACGTGTTTCTTATCGTCGGTCAGGGCCAAAGGGGCTGAAAGTCACTGGACACAGCGGTGCCTCTCAGGGTGCGGAGTGTGCCATCAATCACCCAAGGATTTCTTAAGGTCTGCTGGGGGCTGTGCGCGGGGAGGGGTCAGGTGAGGCCCTGTTAACAAACTGAGGCTGAAGAAAAACCACAAAAGGGAAAGCACAGCAGGACACCCAGAGAAGGTACACTGTGGACAGGGCAGGGCAGAGCTGGGATCTGCTGAGTCTCAGAGATAAGACAGAGCCAGAGAGGAGAGGGCGGGGGAGGCAGGCACTGCAGAACTGCAGGAGGAGACCTGCATGAACAAACACGTGGAGGCTGAGGAGGGAAGAATACACCCTGGATGCAGGGCGTGGGCCAGCAGGAGGGAGAAGACGGTCACAGAGACGCCTCGAGGAGTCCCTCTTCTCTTCACACCAGTTAGCAGCAGCGCATGCTGGGGTCTGGTAAGTGCACACTAGGACCGCCACCAGGACCCGGGGCTTCTGAAGATGGCAGCAGGCTGTCCCACTGCCCTTTGCAGGGAGCAGCCCAGTGGCCCCAGGATTCCTGCGGGCTCAGCGCTGCTCTTCGTTTCTCCTTATTTAAAAGAAAAATCGTCGTGACAGCCGCAGAAACCCACTGATGCCCAGGAGCCTCGGAGAGCTGAGCTGACCCACCGTAACCTGCCCCAGGCACATGAGAACAGTACCAGGCAGGGCGGGTGCTTCCCCTCTTCACCTCCTTTTAACCTTTTAAACAACTGCCCGTTTCAAAAGGAGAAAACCACAGCAGAGAGCTTGGTAACTGCCGAAGTCAGTCAGCTTCTGGAGGGTGGCTTGGGCCTGACCCTGGCCCTTGTCTGCCCACCACGCCATACGCCTCCCCAAGTTCTCGGCCTCTGACTCTGAGAGCACTGCTCACACACAAAAGGGCCGCCTACACCCGTGGTCAGCGAGTCGCATGCAGCTCTTTGGCCCCTTGAGTGTGGCTCTTCCACAAAATACCACGGCCTGGGCGAGTCTATTTTGAAGAAGTGGCGTTAGAAAAAGTTTAAGTTTAAAAAACGTGGCTCCTCAAAGAAATTTCAATCGTTGCCCTGTTGATGTTTGGCTCTGTGGACTGATGAGTTTGCCAGCCGCTGGCCTACACCCAGCTAAAACCTAGGAGGTTTTTAGGTGACCACACCCTTCAGAGGCAGGGAGAGAGGGAGGAGGACTAGCCCCGCCCTCACCTGGTGCCATTCACGCCCAGGTTTCCTCTGGGCTCTCCTCTCTTGAAGACTAATAAACAAGGAGGAGCCCCCAGGCATTCTCCACTGTCAGGGCTGGGAAGAGATCAAGCAACCAGAGATCAAATGCAGCCGGTCCCAGCTCTTCACACCTGGGTCCCAGCTCTCCACAACTCAGCAGCCCCCGGCCCACCCCAACACCCAGGCACGCTGTCAATCCAGAGAGGGGCATCCACAAGGCCCACAGACCCGTGAGGGAGGAGAGGAGACGTCAGGGACATGCAATGGCAGGGGCAGGGCCCCTGGCCTCATCTTACCAGAAGGCCCTTGCTGGTGGCCCAGACCATGCACCGTGTCCCACTGCCCAGGGTTCCCAGAAACAGGCCTCCCCTCTGTCACCTCTGAATCCAATCCAGATAAGTACTGGCCACGAACCCCAATAATTCCAAAACTTCGTACTCCTGCCAAATCCTCCCTAAAACTTACAAGAATTAATTCAGACTTTGTTTTCAGGCTTTAATTCCTCCTGAATTTCTCATCCTGGTTATCGAAACCACACACCAAAATTCATTTCATTGGAGCAAAGCTGATGAGTGTGTGTGTGTGGGGGGGGGGTCCCCCTACTCTAGCTTGAAGGCCCACTGCACGGACGGCAGTTCCATCTGAAAGTCCCATTTCCGGTCCCGCCCGGGGCAGGGCAGGGCTGGGACCACCGGAGCCCAGGCCTCCCTCCTCTGGTTTCTGAGCGTGTCAGCACTGAGCACGGCTCTGGCAGGCTGGAACTGCGCCTGCTCCACACTGACACTTTCTTAAAGTCAGAAAAGGAAAAATGTTACGTTGACCAAACATTTTTACGTTTCCCTGCATTGGGGAAATATGAGCAATAATGGTCTCATCCAGTATCTTCCTTATTTTTTTATTTCTTTATTAAGGTAATAAATATGTGTTCTTATTCCCCCATTACCCTCCACCTCCTATTCATGATCCCTCCTCCTGCTGTCTGTGTCCGTAAGTCCTTTGGTTGAACTCTCCCTCTCCCTTCCTTTTTAGTTTACATATCCTACTTTCAAAATGGCAAATAAATAAGTCGCTAAAAAAGTACACATTAAAAAGTAATGTACAGCCTTGACAGAGCAGCTCACTGGGTCAGAGCGCTGTCCCCACACACCAAGGTTGCAGGTTCCGTCTCCAGTTAGGCACATACAAGAAGCAATCAGTGAGTGCATAAGTAAGAACAACAAATTGATGTTTCTTTCCCCCTTCTTCTCTCCTTAAAATCAATTTTAAAACTTTAGAAAGCAAGGTTATGTGTTTCTTCCTGCTAAACAGTTGTGTTCTCACACTGGTGAACTCCCAAAGAGCACGGGTCTCACCTTAGACAGTGGGCACCGTTGGGAGGAAAATAACTGGACCATCTTCTCTGGAAGGAAGACCCACCCAGAGGGGATACCATCACAGAAACACACCTTCCAGCCTCCTGTAGCGCAAACCCACGGATGTTCCTAACAAACAGCCTGTCACTCGTGAGCAGATTCACATGTGAATGTATATTTCAAAACCACAGCCTGTGTTCAAACTCCTCTGACAAAATTACTTACCTAATGTGCCAGGGCTGTACCAGACCTCCCACACATTGCTCGGCTCAAAGTAGTGTCCACCTTCAAAGAGCAGGGAGGGAAGAGGAACAATCGCCGGGAGAAAATATCTTTCCAGAAAGTTTCTCACCTTCTGGTTTTCAAAGACTGTCCTTCTCCTGCCAGGATCCCGACATGACTCAGAACGCAGCCATCCAGCTGTGGGTGGAAATCCACCCGAGAATGCACAGAGCCAGCACCCAGCTGCACCCGAGCTTCCCTCAGGATCGTAAACAAACACGTGTAACACACAAATTAAAAACCTACCCTCACCACATTTCACCTGTCAGTCTCAGAGCCCTCACCCACTCGCTTGATCCTGTTGATGTTTAATAGGTTTTCAGGACCTGGCCTGGGAGTAACACAGGTGTGGAGTGTTAGGTGCTCTGGGCCAGTCTGTGCAGGTGATGAACCTGCCTTTGGCCCTGGGGTGCTCACAGCTGTGATAGCATGCAGGCATATCTATAACGGGCACAGACACCAGGGAGACAGCCAGAGGCGAGCTGAGGCTCTCCTGCCAAAATGAGGGGTGGCTGAGCAGTGGGACATGGGGCCCCGCTCCGCCCCTGCTGCTGTCTCACCATCTCTTTCAGGCGGGGAGCACTTTGGGTGACTAGCCAGGCCACTTCTGGTCCTAACATGCTAACGTGCTAGAAGGGAAGTAAATAAAGATGCTGTCTAGAGAGAGAACAAACTGAAATACATGCAGCTCACCACTCCCCGGGATAGGGACTGAGACAGACGCACAAGCAGTGCCTGGCAGGGGAGTCCTTGAGCTCAGAGGAAGTTTTCCTGTTGAACGTTCACTCCCCAACCTTCCAGCTTCCTACCATCTCATTCATGTTGGAGAACAGACTCACAAAGTGCTGCCGCCCTAGCCAGATACAATAACATGCAGAAAATCAAGTCGTGTTCTTTTTGCAAAATAAATATAACAGGAATCCTGAGAGGCATAAAGCAGAGGAAGGCATCATACATCTGTCCACTCAGTACCCACAGGGGGAAACTTACTTGGGGGAGGGTTCCATGCACACCCCAATCCCTCTCTCACAGCGAGAACTCACAGCTGTCACCTGTCTCTTCTTCCTGGGGTGGGAATGTGCTGAGCCATGTTCAGTCCCCGCCGTGACCACAGGCACAGCTGGCAGTCCAGCTCCCGTCCAGCAAAGCCACGGCATCTGCACCTCTAAAGCCAGCACACCCTCCTCTGGTCTCTTTCCACCCTGAGCTGCTCCCGCACCCTTGGGGTGCCGTACAGAACCCAAAAGCAAGCTGCACAGAAAGCCCTTTGTCTTGGGGAGTCTGTGAAGCTCATCGAAAAGCTTTCTCTTGTGAGGGCTCTGTCCAGGCGACGGGTCCGATAGGCATCAAGCTCAGCCCATTCAAAACCCACCTCAC